TCAGAATTTTGTATTTTTCGGAATATAATCTAAAAATCAGAATTTTGTATTTTTTAATGTATTTTTTCCGGAAAAATATTATTTCTTCCGGAATGATTGTATTTTCCGGTATTTAATTTATAAATCAGAATTTTGTATTTTTCATTAATAAAATTCTTTTCCGTAAAATAACTATTCCTTCAAGTACATTTAATACATATTTTATTATTTATTATCAACTTTTGTATTTTTCCTTTGATATTTAATTTTGTCAAAAACTAAAAAAATAAAATAAACACCAAAAATGAATCATCCAAAACATTCAATGTGTAATACTTACGTCTTTTAGCGTCTTTTAGCTTCTAAGAAAAAAACCCCGTCATTCACCTCTTAATAATCAGTTTTATTTGTTAAAATTTTTAAATGTTTTTTTTTCGAAAGAAAAATTTTTCTCTTAAATTTCAGGGGGGAATAAATTAAATTTTAGGTTGGGTAGCCAATTAATTGTTTAACTAGACCAATTATTTGGTTTATATTTCTATTAATAATTTATAACGGCTAATAAATCTACGGGCTTTTTACTATAAATAAACAAAAATAATTTTTTTTATTGCTTTAAATAAATAAATATAGAAACCCACGCAATAGTATTTTTATTTGTTATTTGTTTGTACTGGAATGCTTTAAATAAATTTTATAAATTATTTAAAGCATAAGAATATTTGTGTGTTATATTTACTATAAATAAACACAAGTCAGAATAATGTGTTTTCTTTGAATAAAATTCCTTTCCGGAAAGCTTATTTATTTTCTGAAATAAAATACATGTTTTAAAAATCAGAATTTGTATTTTTTTCTTAAATCAGAATTTGTTTTCCGGAATAAATCATTTCTTAGTGTGTTTTCCGGAATATTTATAAAAATAATATTCCTTTCCGGAAAATTTATTTTTTTTCCGGAAATAAAATACAAATTTAAATAAATCAGAATTTGTATTTTTCTTTCAAATCAGAATTTATTTTCCGGAATCAGAATTTGTATTTTATGTGTTTTCCGGAATATTTAATAATTAAATAAATCAGAATTTGTATTTTTTCTTCGATCAGAATTTTTCCGGAAAATAATTTGTATTTTTCTTCAAATCAGAATTTTCTCTACTAAAATACAATGTATTTTAATGTATTTTAAATGTATTTTATACAATGTATTTTAAAATTATTTTTTAATTCTTTCTTATGTATTTTTCTCCTCTTATTTATTTTCACCCACCCCCTCATGTGTTTTTATTTACCATTTTTATTTTTTTAGTTATTTTGCCCATTTAACCATAAATAGATAAAATTAATTCTAAAATAAGACAATTTCCTCATAATTGCCCCAAATAGTGCTTTAGCTATTTTTATCTTTTTTTACTATTTTTTCTCGTTCCATTTGGGAGTTTCTAAAAACGTCTTTTCCTTTTTTGCTTTAATTTGGCAATTTTAAATTATTTAGGGAATATAAAGGGGGTTTTTTGGTATTTTTTACTTTAAGAAAGTATTTTTTTTTACTTAATATATATTTTTTATTTTTTGAAAAATTTTTTTTATTCTTTTCATTCCTGTAATAGAAGTAGGATGTGGCAGGGATGTGCGCCAAAATTTTTGTGTGGCGCGCCAAACGCCAATTTTTCAAATTCTGAAAACACGCCAAACGCATTTACGCCAAAATCGACTAAAAATAAACGCCAAAACGCCAAAAATTAAAAAATTTAATCATTGGCTCGTTAATAATTTTAAAAGATAAATAGGATATAACTCTTCAGCTCCACAGGCAAAATTTTTGAGTTATTTGGAAGGCCAGGAAGCCAGATTTTTCATTTTTCAGCGCCGCAAGCGAAAATTTTGAGAATTTTAGAAGCACAGTATCTGCCAAATACTATGTGGCAAATAAGCCAGAATCGCTCCATTTTAGTGAGACAAAATAAAATTTATTAAAGACGTCTAAAATTGAAATTTATGGTCGCGATCTAGAGTTTTTTATTAACTCTGCATTTTTATACCGGAAGTGAATTAATTATTTAAAATATTTTTTTAATTAAAACAGCTGGTTAAATTAAAATAAAAATTGAATTGCAGTATTTATATTTTTTCCAATGATTCACATTTAAAAATGAAATTTTATTAAACATTTTTAATCTAAAATTTATTTATATTTTGCTATTTTATTTTTTAAATTAAATATTTTATTATACTTGGCGCGACCTTTGAGTACCCCGACATTTGCGGACAATCTCCTTTAAATTAAGCATAAGATCAGTGATAAAATGATAAACAAAAGGAGTTAGATTTTATAAATACAAGCTAAAAATTGCCTCTAAAATGAAACAAAGTTTGGGCAAAATTTTGGCTTTAAAACAAAGTTATGGCTTAGAAACTAAGGAATTTTGGCCGTAAACATATTCGATTTTCTTTACTTTAAAATGTTTTTATTTTTAAGCTTAATTTTTCAGTTTTTAAATTATATTTTTACGTTCAGCCTAAAAAAAGTTATCCTAAAAATCCGCAAATGTCGTGTGTTCTCAAATGTCGTATTTAACCGATTTTGATATATCTTTTCGTCCATATTTTCCAAGCTAATTTTTCAAAAAATCTAAAATTTTTAGAGAATCTAGATAAGACTGTTAAAGATTTCAGAAAAAAATTTCAGGTCCATACCTTCGATATAAACAAAGTTACACTTGTGTGCGCAAATGTCGCATTTAATAATAAATTTAATAATAATCTCACAAATCACCCCAATTTAGAATAATTATTTTGGTATCTATTTTTGCGTATTTCCCCTAATATTCTTTTTAATCCCTTCTTTTTGCGTAATTATCAAACTAAAAATATTAAAATAGAGCTTTAATTACAAAAGGAAACCTTTTTTTGGATTGGGGTAATTATTAAGATTTTTTTGGACAAAGTGTCATCCCTATATAGCTCAAAAAATATTATACATTAATTTTAATAATCTCTGAGAATTTTAAATTCTAGCGGAAATTGCTGTATAAAATAAAATAAAAAATCAAAAATCTTTTTAGTTTGTGATAAAAAAAATTAAAAAAATTTTTTTGTAGTCAAACAAAGCTGCCTAAAAATAGGCGAGTTAGAAAAGCTCGTTTATTGAGTTTTAAAAAATAAAAAATTATTTTTTTGTGTTTAATTTTTTAAAAATTTTGATTTTATTTTGTAGCTTATTCTCAGTTCTATTTAATTTTATTAATTTAATTAAAAAATATTGTATTCATTAAAAAGTTTTATTTTAAATTTACACAGAGAATAGGCGTTAGCTTGCGATGACGTCCGCGCGCATCTTCACAACTTTTTCTAAAGTTTAGCTAAGATTTTGAAATTTTGTGTGTTTATCTGTGTTAGAGTTATCTAACTTCTCTCCAAATTTCAGAATTTTTGGTTGAGTAAGAGGAAAGTTGTGGCCGAAAATTAAAAAAATCCCTAAACAAGTCGAGTACGTCTGTGCGTAGCATTACAACTCTAATAAAAGATAAGGTTAGACTTTGAAATTTTTTCTGCCTATTCCAGATAGATGTATCTATCAAATCTCCAAATTTCAGAATTTTTGGCCGAGTATTTCAAAAATTATAGCCGAAAATTTAAAAAATCACTGAAAAAGGATGATTTTCGTCTTCTTTTTGTCTTCATTTTATACATATTTTCCAAGCTAATATTTCAAAAAATCTAAAATTTCTAGAAGGTCTAGCTAAGACTGTTGAGGACATAAGAAAAAAATTTCAGGTCCATACCTTCGATATAGACAAAGTTACACTCGAGCGCGCAAATGTCGTACTTAATAATAAATTTAATAATAATCTCACAAATCACCCCAATTTAGAATAATTATTTTGGTATCTATTTTTGCGTATTTCCCCCTTAATATTCTTTTTAATCCCTTCTTTTTGCGTAAATATTAAACTAAAAATATTAAAATAGAGCTTTAATTACAAAAGGAAACCTTTTTTTGGATTGGGTAATTTTTAAGAATTTTTTGATAAAGTGTCATCCCTTTATAGCTCAAAAATATTAAACACTAAATTTAATAATCTCTGAGAATTTTAAATTCTAGCGGAAATTGCTGTATAAAATAAAATAAAAAAATCAAAAATCTTTTTAGTTTGTGATAAAAAATTTTTTTTGTAGTCAAACAAAGCTGCCTAAAAATAAGCGAGTTAGAAAAGCTCGTTTATAGAGATTTTAAAATAAAAAATTATTTTTTTGTGTTTAATTTCAGAAAAGATTTCGATTATATTTTGTAGCTTATTCTCAGCTCTATTCAATTCTATTAATTTAATTAAAACTATTTTATTCATTAAAAGTTTTAGTCAAAATCTACCACGAGAATAGGCGAAGCGTTCGTGTAGGTCTACGCGCAGCATTATAACTCTTTCTAAAGTTTAGCTTAGATCTTGAAATTTTGTTAGATTATCCCAGATAGAGTTATCTAACATCTCTCCAAATTTCAGAATTTTTGGTCGAGTATTTGGAAAGTTATGGCCGAAAATTTATAAAATCCCTAAACAAGTCGAGTACGTTCGCGCGCAGCATTATAACATTATCAAAAGATAAGGTTAGACTTTGAAATTTTTTCTGCCTATTCCAGATAGATGTATCTATCAAATCTCCAAATTTCAGAATTTTTGGCCGAGTATTTCAAAAATTATAGCCGAAAATTTAAAAAAATCACTGAAAAAGGATGATTTTCGTCTTCTTTTCGTCTATATTTTCCCAAGCTAATTTTTCAAAAAATCCAAAATTTTTAAAGAATCTAGCTATGACTGTTGAAGACATCAGAAAAAAATTTCAGGTCCATACCTTCGTCATAAACAAAGTTACATGCCCGCGCGCAAACGACCCCTCAAACATTTTCACATCCACCTCATATTTACTCCATATTTAATTTTTTTAAAATATTTTTCTATTTTATCAAATCTTAAAATTTCAAAAATTTCAAAAATTTCTAAAATTAAAAAAAATTAATTTTAGAGGAGAGCATAACAGCTGTTATAAGCTTAAAGAAAAAGTTTCACTTGAATTTCTGTGGCTTTCTTCTAATAATTGTACTAATTCTTTTCTTCTTGGTTGGCCAACAACGCGCAACTATATAGCTCATTTCAGGTGTGATATTTAAAAAATAAATTTAAAATTAAAAAATGTCATGAATTTCATAATGTCAATATTTCAAAGGCTCGAAATTCAAAAATGTCAAGATTTCGAAATGTCACTTTCAAAGTGTCAAAAATTTCAAAATGTCAAGATTTCATAATGTTTCGAAATGTCACATTTCGAAATGTCAAGATTTCATAATGTCATTATTTCGAAATGTCACTTTCAAAATGTAAAAAATTTCATAATGTCAAAAATTTCAAAATGTCAAAATTTCGAAATGTCAAAATTTCATTATGTCAAAATGTCAAAAATTTCATAATGTCAAAATTTCATAATGTCAAAAGTTAATTAATTTTTCAGTACGGAGCGCGAAAAATCAGACTGGTTTGAAAAGCTGAACTCAGCCATACAACGTCGTCTCCGGCCAAAATCCACAACAATTGGAGTTTTTGTTCAAATTGAAGGGAGACAACAGGTAAAAAATTTTTAAAAATTAATTTTTATTTATTCTGATTTTTCTCTTTTTTCTCCATATTTTTTATTTTAAATGTCAAACCGCTAAATTAGGCTCAATTTCCCTTCTAACTTTTTTTTAAATGTCTTTAGAACTTTTTCCGGCTATTATATCTTTTTTATATTAAAAATTATATATTTTTCACATGTTCCCAATTTTATTTTTTTTATTTGAGTGCACTTTTTGGATGATTCTTTTTCTTTTTTCCACGCAAAAAAATAAATTTTTCTCCAAAAATAAATTTTTTTTCAAAATTCCGCCATTGAGTATTAGTATGGATCAGGGACGAGTCGGAGTACCCGAAATCCGACCCGAGAAATTTTTGCAAACATTGCTTACTTTCTTCTCAAACCGGCCTATTCCTTTAAGCAGTATTACAATTACCGTAAATGCTCCAATATATGCCGGCTCTAATAGAAGCCCGTCTCTAATATAAGCCCTCCCAAGGGGGGCTATTGAAAAATATAAGCCCAGTCTCCAATATATGCCCACTAAAATGCCCATTGAAAAATACAAACACAGGGCTTAAATCAGAGCATTTACAGTATTTTCTATGCCTCTTTATTTTTTCTAGAAATTTTAATAATTACAATTTCCTCTCCTACTCCTCCACCCACCCACTCATCTGTCATTTCAATTCCCCTTATAATTCCACAAAAATATTTTCCCAAAAATTCTCTCATTTCCCATAAGCTGCTTTTCCTTCTCTTTAATTTTGCATAAATAACCCCCTTCTTGTGTGTACATAAATATAAAATTAAATATTAAATAAAATATACTCTACCAGAGAACGGCAACAAAGCAGCTATAGAAACAAACGTCAATTTCCGATGAATAAAAAACCGGAAATCCGTCTAGCTATTTTTTCCTTTTCTTTCATTTCTTTTGGCATTTCTTTCTAGCCGTTCTTCTCGTTTTTAGGCTTTCTTTGAATTTATTTTTTAAGTATTTAATCTGACTAAATATTGAAGTTGTGTGACCGTTGGGCGCAGGTATGCGTTGAGCGCGGGTTTAGATATCCTTCGGTAATGGACCTAAAATTCTGAAATTTTTTGGATATCCTGACAATAATGTTAGCTAGTTCTCCTATAATTTTCAGAATTTCTGGTTTTAGATTTCAGAAGTTATGGCCAAAAACCCTGTTAAGATTTACTTGGAGGAAGCGTTTGGGGGGTGGCGCGGTTTTAAATATCTTCTCTTGAACTTGACCTAAAATCCTGAAATTTTCTTTATATTTCTTCAATAAGCTTATCTAACTCTCCTATAAATTTCAGAATTTTTTGTTTCTGGTTTAAAGAGTTATGGCCAAAAAAACGCGGTAAAAATAGACTTTTTTCTAACTTTTTGTCATTTTTCGGCCATAACTTTGTTTTGCCACAACCAAAAATTCTGAAATTTTAAATCTAGGTAGAAAACAGTATCATGGACGTAAATGCAAATTTTCAGAATTTTAGGTCCTTTTATTTTGCCTTTTTATTTAAACTGCGCCCTATCGTTAAAGGAAGCCCATACGTGCCACTTCCGTTGAATACTTAAAAATAAAAAAAGAAATGTCGTAATAAATTTATTCTCTTAATATTTTTGCCATAATCTATCCCCTTTCATTCCCACGCATTTTTAAAATGTCAAAAATGAAAATTGAAAAAAAAATATTTTTGAGGAAATAAAATTTAAAAATCTAATAATGGCATTTTTAATTAATTTATGTATCCAACTCAAATTTTAATTAAATTTTATTTTTTAAATTAATTCTGTAGTTTATCAAAAATTAAAAATAATGCGGAAGTGAATTTAACAATTAAATTAAATTTTTTATTATTTTTTAAATTAATTTTATTATTATTTTCTATTTAAGTCATTATTATTAGTCGACCCTTTTTATTTTACTACAAATTCTTGAAATTCTTTTCAGGTTATTTTTTGATATCATTTTATAGAGGAGAAAATTTGCTATAAATAGGCAAGTTTTCTAATTTTTATAGCGATTTACAAAAGAATTCTGATCGAAAAATGAACTTAATTTTAGCTTAAATGTTCAGGTTTCTTAAGGGTTTTTGGTCTTAACTTTTTACTGATTATCATAAAATATTTTCTTTTTACCTCATTTTGTAGCCCATTTTTTTCTCAATCGAATAATATCAAAATATCTTTTAGATATTTTTTAATTATCTAGTTACAGATTTTAGAAATTGACTGGTACTTGTGTTTGTCGAGTTCTCTTATTATTTTAAATTTTCTTTTAAATTCTGATTTTTTTATTTTCTTTTATTATAAATTCTGAAATTGTATTTTTTGATGTGTTTTCTTATTTAATTTATTTTATTTCAGAAATTCTGATTTTTGTATTTTCTTTTTAGAATTCTGGTATGTATTTTTCCGATGTGTCTTTTCAAGTTTTCAAGTTTATTTAATTTCAGAAATTCTGATTTCTGTATTTTCTTTCTTTATAATTTCTGAAATTGTATTTTTTTGTATTTTTTCTTTGTAAAATTCTGATATGTATTTTTGGATGTGTTTTTCCGTTTAAGTTTATTTAATTTCAGAAATTCTGATTTTTGTATTTTCTTTTTTTATAATTTCTGAAATTGTATTTCATTGTATTTTTTCTATTTTTTTGTATTTTTATACTATTTAATATTATTCCCACCTATAAATATGTATTACTTTAATTTTCACCCTACAATTTATTTTATAATTTATGTTCGCGTGCACGTTGCAACACTTTTCGTACATTTTACTGCAAAAAAAATATAAAAAAATTTTAGAAAAATTCTTTGCACAAATTTTTATTTTTATTTAATAAATAAAGTTATTAGTATTATTATTTTTACACCCCAAAGTCTTTCTGGTTATTTTAAAAGTTTTTAAATTAATATATGTAGTGTTGGATCGCGCACCCTTTCCCTTCCCTCTTTTTTTCTTATTTTAATAATTCGGATTGATATTCTGATTTTTAAAGAATATTCTGATATTAAATATTATAATTTCCATAATTCTGATTTTCATATTCTGATTTCTAATTATTCTGATTTTTACCAAATTCTGAATTTTTTAAAATTCTGGTTTTTAATTGTTTTGATTTTTCATATTTCTGATTTTTAAAAAATTCTGATTTTTTATAATTCCGATTTTCACAATTCTGATTTTTAATAATTCTGATTTTAAATATTCTGATTTAAAAAATTCTGATTTTTTAAATTTTGATTTTGAATATTCTGATTTTAAAAATTCTGATTTTGAATATTCTGATTTTTAAAATTCTGATTTTTTAGAAATTCTGATTTTAATTTTTATGATTATTTGTATAATAATATTATTATTACACCCCAAGTCTTTCTGGTTATTTTAAAAGGTTGGATCGCGCACCCCTTCCCCTCTATTTTTACAAAAAATTTTTAACCTTTTTTTCTGCCAAAAAATTAATTCGATCATTCAAGTATTTAATCATTCAAAATATTTATATTTAAAAAAATTTTCTGTTCATTTTTTAATTTATTTTAGTCATTTTTGTAAATTAATTTCCGGTTCCATTAAGATCAAACTTTCAATTTTTATTCTATACTTTATTAAGTCCCTATACTACATATTTGAGGTTTTAAAAATTCAATTTTCAAAAAATCAGAATCCTGTTTCTGTGTCTTATTTATAGGATAACCTAGTGCAGACTTTCAGCCTTATATTTAGAGTAAATCCTTGAAACCTTGCAAATCCGGGATGTGTAAAAACTGAGATTTTGAGCAGTGTACTCTCAATTTTACTTTTAAATTTTCTGATAAAATTCTAAAAAGTTTCTAACCAGGGCTGTTTGAAATTTCGTTTAGTTTCGCTCTTTCGTGCTATTTTTTCCATTTCGTTTCGAAGCGAAATAAAATAGATTTTAGGACGAAACGAAATAAAAATACACCCCTAATGACGGGAATTTTTGTAAAAATTTCCCAATTTTCCGGAAATTTTGTCGGATTTTGGTTTGAGAAATAAAGAATTTTTTTATTTTGAACAGCCTTGGTTCCAACCTATGTTAGTTGTAATCTGGCTGGTATATTAATTAATAAACCAATAATTATTTAAGAGATCAATCATTTTTATTTTTTCATTATTATTCTTTTTTCACACCTAATTATTATATTTTTTGCGCATTTGGTCATAGTCTATTAAACCACTTTTTTATGTAGAGAATTGTATCTGAATAGAAGCAAAAAATTTTTTTAACATTTATTTTTCGCTGGTTTTATTACTCCAATTATTAATTTTGAAACAAAAATCCAGCTATATTAACCAAAATTTTTTTTTGTTTTTACTAGAAAGGATCGAGACTAATCCAGAATAAGAGATCCCGATTCTCGTAGGATACTCTCAACTCTAGTCCTCAGTTTTTGCTCTCAATTCTTTATTTTCTCTCTTAATTTCCTCTTAATTTTTTGGTATATAGATCAATTTTAAATGGTAAAAATAAAATTTTGAAAAATGTCTCATAGAGGCCGGTATACCTAAATTTTTACACAGGTATTTTTTGGTATACCGATATCGTACCGGAAAAACTTTGAAAAAATCGGAATTTTTAAGTATCCGTTTTTTCGTCATACCGATACCGAATACCGAAAAAAGTCATTTGCCGAACTCTAATTTTTAACAGAAACCTCTCGGTTTCTGGTGGAAATCGGACCGAGAGGTCTCGATTAACTTACACCCCTCTCAAGTCCGGCCTCTAGTTTTTGCTCTCACTTTTTTCCTTCAATATCCTTCCTGAATGTTCAATCTTCAATCATCCTGATTTTTAATCCTTTTTTTCGTTGACCTTTTCCATTTTTTAAGACTTTTAGACTTATATTTAGACTAAATCCAGAACTCCTTAAAATCCAGTGTTGTTTAAAAAACAAGGGCGCATCTCGTCTCCAGAAACCCCAACCCTGTCCGACGAATTTTTAGGCAAAAGTTTTGTTACTCCAATTAATTTTTAACCTTAAATCCTTTTTAACCAAAATCTTTTGGTTTTATCTAAAAATCGGACCGAGAGGTCTCGATTCTTGAACACCCTCTCCAAGTCCGGTCTCTAGTTTTTGCTCTCAATTTTTTCAATAATTTTTCCTTCCATATCTTTCCTGAAATTTTTAATCTTCATTCATCCTGATTTTTAACCCCTTATTTCGTTGACCTTTGATTTATTTCCTTTTATTTTTTTTTTATTTTTAAAATAATCATAGAAACCTTTTGCCTGTATTCCTCCCCTATTCCCCCCTTATTTTTAAAATAAAAAATAAAAAAAGCAAAAAAATTTTCCTTTATTTTTCTTATTTTAATTTCCAGTTTAACAGCTTAAAAAACGTAAAATAGACTTTGTCCTTGCTTTAGATTGCTTTAATTTTTTTATTAGCTAAGAAACTGGGGGGTTGTAGTAATTTTTACACAAGCAACTCTAGTATATCACTGCAAACATGAAAATTATTTTTTTTTAATTTTTTTATTTTTTCTAAAATATTACTAGACTGATTATTAACTTTTTGAATGACTAATAATTTTATTTCAATTTAATTTGTTTACAAAATATTTTTAAATTTTATTTATTTAATTATCAATTCTGGCGGGGCGTCGTTAAGGCGCTCGACCGAGGCGACGCGAATTTTAATAACTCAATATTACAAAGACCTTTCTAAATAAAATTTTGCAGGCTTGTTAAATAAAGTGTTTCCTAGAAACTTGCAAAATTTCAAAATTTTTGGCTGACTAGTTCCAAAGTTGTGACTAGAAAACTAGCGACACCCTTTATTTTCTAGGTGCTTTACCGCTACGATGGAAATTTTAATATCTTAATAACCCCAAGACATTTCTAAACAAAATTTTGCAGACTTATTCTTTATAGTTTGACCTAGCAAAATCCAAAATTTCACAATTTTTGGTTCAGTAGTTCCAATGTTGTGGCCAAAAAACTAGTGACACCCCTCATTTGCTAGATCGTTACTGCGCGTTTTTTAATATCTCAATAATGCTAAGACCTTTTTAAACAAAATTTTTCAGGCTTATTCTTTATAGTTTGACCTAGCAAAATCCAAAATTTCAAAATTTTCAGTTCACTAGTTCGAATGTTGTGACTCGGAAATCTCTTCCCCCTTCATTTTCTAGGCACTTGATTGTTACTGCGCGTTTTTTAATATCTCAATAGTAGCTGTGCCTTTTTAATTAAAATTTTGCAAGCTTTTTACTTATAGTATTACCTAGAATTTTTGAAAATTTCAAATTTTTTGGTTTGGTTGTTCCAAAGTTGTGACTAAAAAACTAACGACAACCTCATTTTTATGTCAAAATTAAACTGTCAACAGCTTGCTTAATATTAAATTTAAAATTTTTAAAATTCTAAAAAATTATAGGAGGTCTGTAAACTCATTTAAAAATCATCTCCACAAAATTTATTAATTTTACGATTTTTAGTAAAAGAATTTAAAAGTCGGCGCCGTAATGCCTCCTCTACCCACACCTTCCCCTTCATTTTTAAAGGAAAGTAAAAATAATTAAATTTTGTTTTCAAAGTTTTGAAAACAAAATTTTTAAATGAAAAATGGATGGAGAGGGCGCAAAAATTATTAATGTATTTTCAAAAATATTTCCGTTATTTAATGATTTATTTGTCTAGTGAGAGAGTGAAATATTAGTTTATTTTCACCCTTTACTCATTTATTTTTATTTTTTTATTTGGCGAATGCATTAAAAATTAAAAATAAAAAAATAATAATTTTAAAAAATTCTACTTATTGTGAAAATTATGAAAAAATTAAAAAAAATAAAATTTAAGATGCAAAATAGACTAAAAAAATAAATAAATAAAGTTTCGCTCAAATTACCGTACCATTTTTAAATGAGTATCCCTTCCACTGAATTATTTTTAAATTAATTCTGATTCTAATTTGTTTTAAAAATAATTCTGATTTTTAAATATTCTGATTATAAATAATTCTGATGATAATATTCTGATTTTTATTTTTCTAGTTTTTGATAATTCTGATTTTAAATATTTTGATTATAAATAATTTTGATTATAATATTCTGATTTTTATTTTTCTGGTTTTTTATAATTCTGATTTTAAGTAATTCTGATTTTAATAATTTTGATGATAATATTCTGACTTTTATTTTTCTTGTTTTTGATAATTCTGGTTTTTAGAATTCTGTTTTCTAAAAATTCTGATTTTTAAATATTCTGAGTTTTGAAATTCTGATTTTGCTATTTCTGATTTCTAAAAGTTCTGATTTTAATATTCTGATGTTAAAAAATTCTGATTTTAATACTTCTGATTTTTAATAATTCTGATTTTTGTTAATATTAATTTTAAAAATAATTCTAATTCTTTCATATACTGTTTATTTTAAATATTCTTGCATTATTATTCCAGTTTCTCCAATAACTCCCCTATTTAAAAAATAAAAAATTCCTTATTCTAATAATGACCTTGGTTTTTTATGAAATTAATAATTTATTTTTTTTGTGTTCTTAAAATATTTTTTTTTAATTTTTGATACATTTTTGTTCCTTTTTAACTAAAAAAATTTTTCTTCTCCCTTCAACAACCTTGATTACCTCATATTTTTATTTTGCGATTTAATTTTTATTTATTTATTTTAATTTTTAAATATTCTGGTTTTTATAAATTCTGAGATCAAAAAATTCTGATTTTCAAAATTCTGATTTTTATAATTCTGATTTTTGATAATTCTGATTTTTAAATATTCTGATTTTTAAAAATTCTGATTTTTAATAATTCTGATTTTTACAAATTCTGATTTTTAATAATTCTGATTTTCCGATTTTTAATAATTTCTGATTTTTAATAATTCTGATTTTTATAAATTCTGATTTTAAAAATTCTGATTACTAAAAATTCTATAATTCTGATTTTTAAAAATTCTGATTTTTTATTTTTTATAATTAATTCTGAAAATAATTCTGATTTTTATAATTATTTATTCTGATTATTTATTCTGATTTATTTACTTATAATTCAATTTTTCAGCAAATTCGAAGAGAAGTCAAAAACGGTCAACGCGCCGAGGATTTAATTGAGGCTTTACGTATAGAGCTTCATTTACCTGTTATAGACCCTCATTTGGGACATTACGAACTTTGCTTTTGCCCTGGAAGTAGACGAAATAGTGGAGGAGGTGAATAAATTATTGAAAATTTTTTTAAAAACCTCCCTATACGATACCCCTTTGGGGCTGTTTATAGCTTATAATGGGGCGTCTCTTATAATGAGTTGTCTCTTAAATAGAGGGTCGCTTCGGCAGCTTCCCACTCAGTGACCAAACAAAACGTTAGGTTCCCTTTTGATGTATGTACCATTTGTCTTTGTACCCTTTTGTCGGCGAACTATTTTGTCGCTGAACCATTTTGTCGTTTGTACCGTTTTGTCGGTGAACCCTTTTGTCAGTTGTACCCTTTTGTTGTTGAATGGTACAACTAATATTTGGGGGTATTTTATAGTGGGATCGGATCGGTTCGACTCTTATTTCAACTTTTCCCTTCAGTTCGACCTCTTTTTAAGCTGACTTTTAAGGGGGTTTATAACGGGAGTGACCCAAAATTTAATTGTAATTTTGAATTTAAAAATATTAGATTACTACAAAAAATAAAAAAAAATAAAAATTAAAAATTTGTCTAGGCTGTCATATAAGCAGTTTTCTGCCTAGCAACAACAACAATACTACCAATAATTCCTCTATTGAAACAAAATTACCTGCTTCACCCCAATTATTTGGTGCTTCAGAAAAAGAAGAAAATTTAAATAAAAAAGAAAATTTAAAAAATTCTTCATTGTCTTCGTCCCCTGCAATTTTACGTAGAGTACAGTCGCATACTTGTATTGTTTCTCCTTTGCAAGCGGCACACCGGTCGCCGGTCTATAATAATTGCCAGTACAATAGTGCTGCTATACAGCCTTTGCACGGAGTGAGTTTTAATTATTTAATTCTGGAATTAATTCTGAAAAATCAGAATTCTGATATTTAAAAATTCTGATATTAATTCTGGAATTAATTCTGAAAAATCAGAATTCTGGTTTTTAATTTATAAATTAATTCTGATTTTAAATTCTTACAATTAAAATTCTGGTTTTTAATTCTGAAATAATTCTGATTTTAAATTCTGACAATAAAAATTTTGATTTTTAATTTTGAAATTAATTCTGATTTTACAAATTCTGATTTTAAATTCTGACAATAAAAATTCTGATTTTTAATTTTGAAATTAATTCTGATTTTAAATTCTGACAATAAAAATTCTGATTTTTAATTTTGAAATTAATTCTGATTTTATAAATTCTGAAAATTTAGAATTCGGATTTTTATAAATTCTGAAATTAATTCTGAAAAATCAGAATTCTGATTTTTATAAATTCTGAAATTAATTCTGAAAAATCAAAATTCTGGTTTTATAATTTTCAAATTAATTCTGATTTTAATTCTGAAAAATCAGAATTCTGGTTTTATAATTTTCAAATTAATTCTGATTTTAATTCTGAAAAATCAGAATTCTGATTTTTAATTTTGAAATAATCTAGTTTAATTCTGATTTTAATTCTAAAATTAATTCCGGTTTTTAATTTTGAAAAAATCAGAATCCTGATTTTGATTTCAAAATTAGTCCGAGTTTAATTCTGAAATAATTTTGATTTTAATTCTGAAAAATCAGAATTCTGATATTTAATTCAGAAATTAATTCTGATTTCACTCTTTATTCAAAATTAATTTAAACAGGTTGAAAACGTCTACGCCGTTCTAATGGAATTTGTTCGCTCCCAATTAGGCATTAGCCTTTCCGATTCTCAACTGGCTCATTTGGATACTTGCCCCTTAGTTAATTGTAAATTGCTTTTGAGACAGACTGGTCCAAGTAATTCGCCTTCACATGCTTCTGGGCATCATAATAAAAGGGCGGCGTTGAATTTGGTTAACCAGTTTAGGTGAAATTTTTAAGAAATTTCTGAACAATTTTTTATTGAAAAAATACATGTTCTATATATCATTCGAAAGCTTGAAACAAATCTCGTTTGACATGTTTCAGCGTTTTTCCTGAAAAATTATTGGAGAGGAGATAGGCTTGGATAAAGGAGGTCAGGTCGGATATTGTACAAAATGCGGGTCTGGCTAGAAAAATTTCGAAAAAAAATTTTAAAAATTTTTTCGAGGGAATCCATTAAGATATTCTCATTCTCCTTGATTTTAGGTACCAGAATCAAAAAACCTAGCCCAAAAATATTTTTTCTAGGCGAAGATATGAATTTTTGAAAATTGGTCATTTTATGAGTTTTTACTGGCAATTTACCTTAAAAATCAAATAAAAATTTTTGAAAAATTTTTTTAGGGGATCTATTAAGATATTCTTATTTTCCTTGGTTTTAGGTACTAAAATCAAAGAACCGAGTCCAAAAATATTTTTTTAGGCGGAGATATGATTTTTTGAATATTGGTCATTTTATGATTTTTATCGTTATTTTTTTAGGAAATTAAAAAAATTTTCAAATTTCGAAAAAAAATTTTCAAAAATTTTTTCGAGAGGATCCATTAAGATATTCTAATTTTCCTTGGTTTTAGGTACTAGAATCAAAAAACCTAGTTTTATAATATTTTTTCTCGGCTGAGATATGAATTTTTTAAAATTGGGCATTTTATGGGTTTTATAGCCAATTTTATTGAAAAAATCTTCTTCAAAATTTCAAAAAAATTTTTTTAATTTTTCAGACGTGTGGTACTCGGAAGAACCGATTCCGCTACTTCTAGTGGTTGTAACTCTCCAACAACAAACCCTCCTCCCTTTGGAATTGACCCTAATAGCGGCAAAAAATTAAAAATGCCAAACAAAAAACAGCGCCTGTTTGGCCGCCAACTTCGTGGAACTATGCCCCCACAGCCTGTATTAACTATGATAGATCATCTACTTTTGTATGGGGCAGATGCTGAGGGAATTTTTAGAAAATCGCCAAAGCAGCAAACTGTTAGGTTGTTGAGGCAGCAGTTGGATATGGTGAGGGAAATATATTTAATTCTGAAATTAAATTTTAAAAAAAATTCTGAATTCTGGAAATAATTCACAAATTAAATTCTGATTTCTGAAAATTCTGAAATTAAATTCTGGTTTCTGAAAATTCTGAAAAAAATTCTGATTTTTATAAATTCTGGAAATAATTCTGAAATTAAATTCTGGTTTCTGAAAATTCTGAAAAAAATTCTGATTTTAATAAATTCTGAAAAAATTCTGAAATTAGCTGGAAAAATAAAGTTTTGATATTTTATTCTGAAATTTTGACTTTTATTTAGAATTTCTGATTTTAATTCTGATTTTTCATCCATAATTCTGATCTTGAATTTTGATTTTTCTGATTAAATTTCTGATTTACTTCTGAGTATGATTCTGATTTTATATTCAAAATTCTGATTTTTCTGACTTTAATTCTTATCAGAATTCTGATTTATTCTGAAAATATATTTTAATTAAACATTTTTAGGGACAAGTCCCCGACTTCCACCAATTCAACATTCACGTAACCGCCTCACTTCTCAAAGACTATTTACGCAGCATTCCAGGCCAACTGCTCCTTTCGGGCAATTATCGCCTCTGGGCTGATGTTGCTAACATGTCTCCCCCTCCAAATTCCTCCCCAAAGTCCTCTCCCTCCGCTGAAAATGAAAAGCAAAATTTGCTGTTGCATCAGGACCGCGTTCAGCGCTGCCGAAAATTGTTGGCTCTACTGCCTCCAGCGCACGTGGTTTTGTTGAGATCTGTCCTGCGGCTTTTGAGAAAGGTGGGGGAAGGATGGGGAATAATTCTGATTAAATTTAAAAAATTAGGTAGCCCAAAATGAAGAACAGACCCGTATGGGTGTTAGTGCATTAGCTGTTTGCGTAGCACCTTCTTTGCTAGAGAAGCTTGAGCAAGTCGAGTCTGTGCGTATTATACCTAATTTGGTTATCTTTTTGATTGAATATGCACATGAACTGTTTGATGGGTAATTTTTAATTTTTAAGTTTTGATAAGCTGATAAGGAAATGCTCTCTTCAGCCTACTTCCTAGTCTGAAAGGAGCATGATCTCTTCAGCCTTCTTCCTAGTCTGAAAGGAGCATGATCTCTTCAGCCTACCTCCTAGGCTGATAAGGGCATGTTCTCTTCAGCCTACCTCCTAGGCTGAAATGAGCATGTTCTCTTCAGCCTACCTCCTAGGCGGAAAGGAGCATGTTCTCTTCAGCCTACCTCCTAGGCTGAAATGAGCATGTTCTCTTCAGCCTACCTCCTAGGCGGAAAGGAGCATGTTCTCTACAGCCTACCTCGTCTGAAGGTCAAAGGGACATGTTCCCTTCGGCCTACTTCCTGTCTGAAAAGAACATGTTCTTCTCAGCCTACTTCCTAGTCTGAAGGGCACAAAGGGGCATGTTCTCTTCAACCTACTTTCTAGTTCGAACGGGACATGTGCCTATAGCCTAGCTTACCTCCTAGTCCCCCAGCTTACCTCCTAGTCCGAAAGGGACAAGGGCTCATTTTCCCTTCAGCCTACTTTCTGGTTCGAGTGGAAGTAGGCTTTCCAGCTTACCGCATAGTCTGAAAGGAACATGTTCTCTTCACCCTACTTTCTAGTCCGAACGGGACTTGTCTCTAAAATACCTAATTTTCATTTTTCTTTTCAGTTTTCTCGAAGATGGACCACTTCTCCCTACCACTAATAACAACACAGAAAACAACAGCATCAATCAACCGATCCCTTCAGTCCCCTCATCTTCCCCCTTACATCAATCAACAGATTCTGGATTAGCTGACGATGTTGGGAGTGCTTTCAATAACGTCAGAAACGCACCCATGGGGACCAAACGTCGTTTTATCCTGACAGATTGCCAAACACAAAATTCACAACAACAAAAAATTTTATCCCACCAAAACCCTTTGAATCACACAAATCCAAGGTCTGTCAGTCCAGACAGTGGAAAAATGTCGTCAGAGCCTCCATCGGAGGATGACAATGATTATTGGAGGAGACAACAGAGGAATAATAGGCAAATTAGAAATTCGTGGATGTTAAAGACTCATTCATTGGATGAGGGAGTGAAGGATGGAGAAATGAATAATGTGAATGGATCTTTGGGTTTTGGAATTGGTTAGCTGAAAAAATTTTTTTTTGAATTTTTAAAATACGCCCAATACAACTAACGTGTCATGTTCTCTCCAGCTTACCTTCTAGTCTGAAAGTGATACGTTCTCCCCAGCCTACCTCCTAGTCCGAAAGGTCACATTCTCTCTAACACCTCCTAGTTTGAAAGGAACACATGTTCTCATCATCCTACTTTCTAGTTTGGGTGGGCATGTTCTCTTTAGCCCACTTCCTAGTCTGAAAAAGACGCGTTCTCTCCAACTTACCTCATAATTCGTATGTGAGATGTGCTTTCTAGCTTACCTCCTAGTTCGAAAGGGACACGTTCTTTTCAGTTTACCTCTCCTGGTCCGAAAGAGACATGTTCTCTCCAGCCTACTTACTAATTCGAATGGAACATGTGCTTTCTCCTCCTAGTTCGAAAGGGACACGTTCTTTTCAGTTTACCTCTCCTGGTCCGAAAGAGACATGTTCTCTCCAGCCTAACTCCTAGTCCGTAAGGGGCACGTTCTATTTCTACTTTCTAGTTCGAGGGAGAATGTTCTCTTTACCCCACTTCCTATTCTGAAAGGGGCACGTTCTCTCTAGCCTACCTCCTAATCCGAATGGGACATGTGCTTTCTAGCCTACTTCCTAGTCCGAAAGGGACGGGCTGATTAGTAAATCCTTTTTAAAGAAATAAAAAAATAATTTTTCAGTTGCCCCACATAACGACGATGACATAGACGACGACCTTGATGACGATGACGAAGACGTAGATATAATAGATTCATTATCGTCCATAACAATCAGAAATCACTACAACCAATTTCAACAAGAAGAGGATGCAAAAACACCCGTAGCTTTAAGTAGAGAAAATTCGGATGCTAAAGATTTTAGAAATAATTCTGTTACAATAATTAAAAATAATTTAAAAAATAATGAAGACGAAAAGAATAATTGTATTAATAATGTTGAGATAAACAACAATTCGATTCTGACGTCGGCTGCTTCACCCAACTTTGCCTGGCGTTCTAAGCATTTGGTAAATTAAATCAGAATTTTATATGAACAAATAACAAATAAAAAATCAGAATTTTATATGAACAAATAACAAATAAAAAATCAGAATTTTATATGAACAAATAACGAATAAAAAATCAGAATTTTATATGAACAAATAACAAATAAAAAATCAGAATTTCATTTGAACAAACAAATAAAAAATCAGAATGTTATTTGAACAAACAAATAAAAAATCAGAATTTTATTTGAACAAATAACAAATAAAAAATCAGAATTTTATCTGAACAAATAACAAATAAAAAATCAGAATTTTATCTGAACAAATAACAAATAAAAAATCAGAATTTTATTTGAACAAATAACAAATAAAAAATCAAAATTTTATTTGAACAAATAACAAATAAAAAATCAGAATTTTATTTGAACAAATAACAAATAAAAAATCAGAATTTTATTTGAACAAATAACAAATAAAAAATCAGAATTTTATTTGAACAAATAACAAATAAAAAATCAGAATTTTATTTGAACAAATAACAAATAAAAAATCAGAATTTTATTTGAACAAATAACAAATAAAAAATCAGAATTTTATTTGAACAAATAACAAATAAAAAATCAGAATTTTATTTGAACAAATAACAAATAAAAAATCAGAATTTTATTTGAACAAATAACAAATAAAAAATCAGAATTTTATTTGAACAAATAACAAATAAAAAATCAGAATTTTATTTGAACAAATAACAAATAAAAAATCAGAATTTTATTTGAACAAATAACAAATAAAAAATCAGAATTTTATTTGAACAAATAACAAATAAAAAATCAGAATTTTATTTGAACAAATAACAAATAAAAAATCAGAATTTTATCTAAACAAATAAAAATCAGAATTTCGTTTAAACATTTACAATTTTCAGCAGCAACAACAAAAACAAACATATAATCAACACAAACAACAAAGACAATTAAACGGAATACGAACACAACACGCAACAAACAATTTAATTTTAACTCAACAACAACCCTTATTATCCCCAACAGAGTCGGCAACTCCAAGAAAAGTTTCTGCAACCTCTAGCATTGGTTGCAATGGAAGTGAACATAGCTACAATACGAACAGTAGTAATGGGGGAACTGGTGAATTTTTTTTAATTTTTTTTGGTGGAAAATGGGTTGATTTGTAGCTTATCCCTTTCCTCTATATCTACTCTCTCACTTATAGCCTCCTCAGAGGCCTAATCCTTCTTTGCTCCTTTCATTCATATCCCCCCACCTCTTCTACTTTCTCAGAATACTTCTCTCTGAGATATCCCCCAATTCCTCTTTCCCTACCAGATATTCCACACTCTCACATATTCTATCCTTCACTTAAACCCTTTTCAAATCTGCCATCATTTACTTATACCTCTCTAAGATATCCCCCACCCTTCATTTTTCCCCCCTCAGATTTCCTCCCCAATTATCACATGAATTGTCAAACTTCACACTTATCCCAAAATCTTGATTAGGTAGTTGATGGGATAACTTCTCTTCTTAGCTATCCCAGCTTTCCTCTCCCAGATATCCCAGACTTCCTTATGTGGGATATCTGAGAAATCCCACACATACCTGAGAGATATCACACTCGTTCTTATAACTCTTCACGTATCCCAACCTATTGTTATCACTTTATTCACGTCCCCAAGGGTAGCACAATTGAGAGCGTCCCCCCAAAATTCTCAAAAATTTTATTTTAAATAATTCTCATTATTTTCAGCAGCCCTTTCACGACGTGCTTTAATAGCCACAAAATCAGAAGCCTTGTTAGGGCTTCAACAACAACTGCAAGAACAAAATATTGGAAGTGATGAAGACAAGAAAGAAGAAAAATTTAATTTAAATCGACAACTAAATTTGTCTTCTTTAAATTCTTCCCCTTCTTCCCAAATTTCCTCCCCTCATAGAGTTGCTACAAGGGCAGCAACTTCAACAAGTCTACAATCGAGTACCCAATCGTCTCCAAAAATAGTTAAAGTGAATTTGCAGAGAGCTGTGCCGTTGAATGGGAGTGGGGTGGTTGTGAACAACTCGGGGAACAACTCTTCAGTCAACTCTGGAAACGTCTCTTCCCTCAATCCTTCCCTCAATCCCTCCCTCAATCCTTCCCTCAACTCCTCCCTCAACTCTTCCCTCAACTCTTCCCTCAACTCTTCCATCAATCCTTCCCTCAATCCTTCCCTCAACCCCTCCATCAATCCCTCCCTCAACTCCTCCCTCAACCCCTCCCTCAACCCTTCCCTCAACCCTTCCCTCAATCCCTCCCTCAATCCTTCCCTCAATCCCTCCTCTTCACCTTCTTCCAACCCTCCCATCTTAAAGCAACGCCTCCCTATACACTTGGAGACTAAACGGCAACACTCTACAGGCACCCTGTTGATGATGATGAACAACAAAAATGTGAACGAGAAGGAGGACTCGTCTCAAAATAAATCGGAGCCGTTTTCGGGCTCAACTGAACTTCATTTGAACTATCTGAGACGTTCCTCTGCCTCTGCAAATGTGGAGGAAGGAAAGACGTTTAATGGGAAGAAATTGGAGGAGAATCGTCGCCCTCTAGTTCAGCGACAACAACCCCAGCAAAAATACATTCCGCCGAGGAGAACGGCTGAAGAATTGCTTTTGGATAAATTGGAGGTGAGGGACTATTTTGAGAAATAAAATTTAAAATTCCGAAAAACGCGAAAATGTCATAATGTCAACTTTTCGAAATGTCAATTTTTCAATATGTCAATTCGACAAAATGTCAAATTGACTAAATGCCACAACATTTTGACATTTAATTGACATTTTGAAATTTTTCGACATTTCGAAAATTTGACATTTTGAGGATTCGACATTATGAAATTTTCGCTATTTTTAGAATTTTAAAAATTTTCAAAATGTCAAAAATTAGAATTAGGGTTGATTTTCGAACCGGCCTAGTTCGAGTCATTTTTTCGGGCCTCATTTTTATCGAACCGAGCCGTCAAGTCTTTTTAGGGTCAAAATTCGAGGCGAGGTTCGATCCTTAGAACAGAACTGGGCCCTCAATAAAAATCAGAATGCCACATTTATAATTAAATTCCTCTATTTTAAAGGTAAATTGGTCAGTGCCACAAATTCGCAAACAATTCCAACAACGAGAAACTGCAAACGAGCCAGCCCCCGTCATTGACACACTTTATGTTAAATTCCCTGGAGGTCAACAACAAAGACAGATTAACAAGAAACAACAGCTTGCTTAGAAGAAAAAAATTTTTTAAATTCAAATTTTAGTTTAATTATTATATATGGAGTAGAAATTTTTAATATTTTTTTATTTTAAGAGGAAATGAGGAGGATGGGAGAGGGAGTTTTTAAATCTTCATTTCCTCTTTATATATATTTTTTTATTAATTTAAAAATTTATTCTGGGTCTTGCCAATTTTAATACATTACTATAATCAAATGTTACATTTATGTTCCTAATTTTAAATATTTGTATTTGTAATTCGGCAATTAATTGTTTTAGGAAAAGGAGTAGAACAATTAACAATCACGGATTTTTAACGTGTAATTCCATTGAAAAATTAAAAAATAGAATATAAGGACATAGAATAGACTCACAAAGGCTCACATGACAAAACGGAGTAAACGACAAAAGTGAACAAACGACAAATGAGTACTTCCGACAAAATTGTACATACGACAAAAGAGAACAAACGACAAATGGGTACATAAGATAAATGAGTACATACGACAAACGAGTGCATACGACAAAACGGTACATACGACAAACGAGTACAAAAAACACGTTCTTTGTCTTTGTCAAAAGGTACAGCCGACAAAATGGCTATATCTATTCGAATTATCTGTGAATTGTTTTACTCGTTTTATTTAAAAATTAATAAATAACATAATTTGCAATAATTTAAATAATATATACTTTGTAAAGCCAAAACTTAAAAATTTGTATTTCTTCCTATTATTCCAATTCCACAAATTTATTTAATTGTATAGCATTTAAAATAAATTATATTAAGTATTCCAATAATTAAAAGAAAAATAAATTAATGTGCGCATAATTTGTGTGTTTTTCTTAAGCCACGTAATTTTTATTTTGTGAATAAATTTTTTTTTGTTAAAAAAATTTTTTTTCTAGGGCCTAGGTGTCAAAAATATTACCAAAAATATTACCAACTTTGATACAGTCAAACCCCACTTTTAGATCCTCCCGAATATTAGATGGACCTATATGTAAGCACAAATAACAAAAGGGTACTACCGACAGAAGGGGTCAAACGACAAAAGGGTACATTCGACAAAACGGTACAAACGACAAAAGGGTACATTCGACAAAAGTGTACACATGTTTTGTTGGCCACTGGGGGGAGGGGAACTGCCTAAGTGAAACCTCTATTTAGGATACTCCCGTTATAGGAGACAAAGTTTCAGCCTCCATTTAGAAGACTCCCGTTATAAGAGACAATGTTTTCAGTTTCTATTCATGATACTCTCGTTATAAGAGACAAGTTTCCAGACCCTATTTAAGATACTCCCGTTATAAGAGACAAAGTTTCCAAACTATACTCCCTTTATAAGAGATAAAGTTTCCAGCCCCTATTTAACATACTCCCGTTATAAGAGACAAAGTTTCCAGACCCTATTTAGGATACTCCCGTTATAAGAGACAATGTTTCAGCCCCTATTTAAGGTACTCCCGTTATAAGAGACAAGTTTTCAGCCTCTATTTAGGATACTTCCTTTATAAGAGACAAAGTTTCCAGACCCCAAGGTGACCTATAAGTGGGATTCGACTCTATTTTTAAAGGTTTTTAGAGGTTTAATAAGGGTTTAGATTTTTCCTCGTCTTCCTCCTTATTCTTATCCATCCGTTTCACAACATCCTCAACAGTCTGTATTGGTGTCATTAATTTAAGTTCAGTTTCCTTCTTGTGAAGTCGAGTTTTTAAAGTCTCCTTCTGATTAAAATAGTTTAAAAGTAGGCGAATTCGATAATAGAGAAGCAAGTAACTAACGCCAATGATAGAAAATAATATGGCCGACATTATGAAATAACTGAAATTAAAAGAAGAAATTCAACACTTAGTTTTCCAAATTTTCTAGGGCCTTAACTCTATGGTAGATTCTAGTGATGTTCGGGTATCCCGATTCCGACTCCCGACACGGGAAAATTTCCCGAGTTTTTGGCCTCCCGATCCCGACTCCCGAGGTCATTCCCGACCCGACTCCCGTTTCCCGACTTTTTCTTCTCCCGAACATTACTAGTAGTTTCTGTATCCAAAAATTTATGTAATCGACAACCCCAATAAGGTGGGATTGTTTCGGTTATCCGCAACCGAAAAAACAGATCTGAGAAGTTTTCTAAAAACCCGACCCGAGACCCATAACTGTATTTTTTCTACCCGAAATCTGAAAACCGACCCGACTTTCTTAACTTATGACATCCTTGCTACAGATGTCGAGAAGTATCTCCCATTTTCCCACTATACTATTAAGTTAGCCTTCTAATGGGGATTCATCTAATTTCTTGGCACTCCTGCCGTTTAAGGGGGGGGGCACTCGTGCCTTTTCTCCCATTTTCCTCTATTTTTAAAAGGCCATGATCCTTTGGAAGGGGGCACCCAGCTCATAAGGGTCAGAGCTCATAAGGGAGAGGGAGAGAGGGTCAAAGGGATCTTTTTCTTTAAAAAAGCTTCAACTCACAATTTATTATAAGATTGTTGAGAAGACAAGTCTTCATTAGCATCCTTATTATCGAAAATCGAGAAGCGGTGAATGTAGAGCATTTGCATGTTTTCAATATAATCCTTTAAGGCACCATAGTAGTTTTTATTCTTGAGATGATGATTCTATTAATAAATTAGTGTATTATTTATTAATCCCCCCCTCGTCGTTTTCCTTGTCAAAAAGGTAAAAACGATAAAAAGGCATAGACGACAAAATAGAACGAACGACAAAATGGTACAATTGACAAAAGGGTACAAGCGACAAAAAGGTACAAACGACAAAAAGTAAAAAGACAAAATGGTACAAACGACAAAAAGGTGCAAGGACAAAAGGGTACATAAAATAAGGATAGTCATTATGCTATTTTTTGAAAATATCGTCCCATCCCAGGATACTTGCAGCTTTGGCTAAGGTCGGCCAAAGCTTTGGCTAAGATAGGCCCAAGAGCTTCTACTGAATTCATATTTTTTACCTCTTTGCCAAGCCATTCATATTCATCTACATGAAGCGTCATTAACCAGCGTGTGTTTGAATAGCAATAACGAAACCCGTCTAAATTTAATTCAATGCCCTGTACATCTGAATCGCATGTTGTTTTATCAGATGATGTCCAGTTTCTATCATTTGTGCATAATTTCTATAAATTTCTAAATAAATCTGGAAAAATTTGGATTTAAAAACAGCCTTACACCCGGAGTTAAAAAGGCTCTTTTGCCTTCTTAGGTGCTAGAACTCCTTTGCGGAGACCTGACTGAGGGTTAAACAAATGGTCATAACTTTGTTTATCTAAGTCAGTTTTCCTTAATTTTAGTCATATTCGATCCGCCTCGAAGCGCTCTTTCGAATGATATATAACATGATCATAAACAATTTTCAATTAAGTTCCAAAAAATCCGGTAATTTCCAAAAAAGCCGGTTCCAGAACCCGGTAAGTTCCAAAACCCGATAAGTTCCAAAACCCGGTAAGTTCCAAAACCCGGTAAGTTCCAAAACCCGGTAAGTTTCAAAACCCGGTAAGTTCCAAAACCCGGTAAGTTCCAAAACCCGGTAAGTTCCAAAAAAGCCGGAAAGTTCAAAGAAAGCCGGTAAGTCCCAAAAGCCGGTAAGTCCCAAAAGCCGTCAAGTTCCAAAAAAAGCACCCAATAAAGTGAAAAATCCCGGTCTTGGCTCTTACGCCCACATTAACAATCCGGTTACCTACAAATTATAAAACATACGGTTAATCCAGTGGAACCATCTTCAGGACCAATCTTGTCTTTTGCTAAAGCCACAAAAAGTCTGAGACCTTCTCTCATACACGGAAATTTTGAATTTGGCTATTAAATTGAAATTGGCGGGAAAATAAAATTTAAATATTTTCCTTACTCTTTTCGTTTTTTCCTTGAAATCCTCAACCAATTCTACAATTTCCTTCCTCTGTTGGTCATTTAGCATCCCATCTGGATCACAAAGAAAAGTTCGGTTCTGAATACCACATTTGAAATAAGTAGCTTCTCTAGGGGATGGATAATCTTCCCAAGTCCAGGAATGGGTGTTGATTATTAGACAGATTAAAATTATTAGAAATTTGAGCATTCTTCAGCAAAATAATTAATAAAATGATTTTAATTATGTCTAAACTAATTACGGTGCACCTAAGTTTCGTCTCGACTCAGTTCAATCCCGAGCCTTATAACTCATCAAGTGATGGATGTTTTTCAACGTTCTTGGTACCGTTAGATAGAGAATTGAATACTCTACAAGATGACAAAAAATCATAACTCTTGACTAATTGATAAAAAAGTTATGACTGATAATGTGCCCGGTACACCTCAGCTTAGTCTCGGCTCAGTTCAGTCGCGGCACCTATACCTTATGAAAGGGCTGATGATTTTCACTGTTCTTGGTATCTTTGGATAGAGAATTGAAAATTCTCTAAAGATATCAAAAAATCAAAACTTTTGATTAATTGATATAAAAGTTATGACTGATAAAGTGGCAAAAATCAGAATTTTTTTTGAAAAAAATTGGTTTTTGAATCATAACTTTTTTATCAATCAGAAGTGAATTTTGATATTTTATATGTTGTAGAGCGTTCAATTCACTATCGAATGGTACCAAGAATATGATTAAGTGACCATCCCTTGATGAGTTATAGGGCCCTGACTGAACCTGACTAAAATGAACTGCTTCAAAATGATTAACGAATTTGGGTACACCTGAAGCGAGTCCAGGAATCTATGTTAACTTAAGAAGGGATGGTCATTTTTTGTTCTTAGTACCGCTAGATAGAACATTGAATAGTCTATACGATAACAAAAAATCATAACTTGACAAATTGATAAAAAGATATGACTGATAAAGTTCCAAAAAATCCTTCGATGAGTTATAGGGCCCTGACTGAACTTAGCTCAGAATTAAATGAACTGATCAGAAATCATATACAAATCTGGATTTTAAACACTTTTGTGCAAAAATGTCTTCAAAAAAGTTAATAAAAATGATCCAAAAAATAAAAATGATTCATTCTAAAGCAATGAAAAAATAGGGGAATTTTATTTAAATAATTATAGTTTGGTCTAGCTCTATCTAAAATGCATATCTAACGAAAGAAAGCAGCTACATTTTTGCTATTTTTCCCACTTTTCTTCCTTGGAAAGGGGGTTTAGTTTTTAGTCTTACTCAGCTTTCTACCACCCTTTTGTGCAAAAAAAACTACATTGATTTTGTATTTATTTGATCTTTAATTTTATTTTTTAAATCGGAAGATAACTAGACTATAATGGTGGAGGGATTGGGAAGGCTAGAGGGAGACTTTTGAAAAGATTCAAGTTTGGAATTGAACAAATGATGGAGGGGGAGGGGGGAAAGATGAGGTTGGAGGGATTGGCAAGGTTAGAGGGACTTAAGGGGATGCGAGGAAATAAAGTTTTAAGCTTGAAATTGAACAAATGATGGAGGGGGGAGGGAAAGAAGAGTTTGGAGGAATTGGTTGGAGGGATTGGCAAGGCTAGAGGGAGAAACGTGGGGATGGGAGGAAATAAAGGTTTAAGCCTGGAATTGAACAAAGGATAGGGGGGGGGGACGAGAAAGGACAGGGGAGGAGAGGTGGGATTTCGGGGATCCCCGTTTACCCGTAGGTAAGCGGAACGTTTGACAACTTTACTAGTCCGGTTGAATTTAATTTAGTCAGAAATTATCCCTCGAGATTTAATTTTTAACTTTAAAAATAAGCAATTAAAAATTAATCTTTAAAGTATAAATAAATAAAAATTGAGAAATTTAACAAAATTGATTCTCCTAGTGAGGTTTGACTGTTTAAAAAAGCTTAAAGTTTTAATAAAGCATTTGTGGCCTCGTCGTTCTCCCTCCTCTTTTCAACAATTTCAACAGGTTGTATTGGTGTCATTAACTGGTTTGAAGCATTCCTCTGATTAAGGTAATTTTTAAATTGACGGAACTGACAAATTAAGAATAAAAGCACCAGGCCAATAATTAATGAAATTATGATCGATATTATTCCTAATCTAAAATCAAAGTAAAATTGGTATAAAGGTACCGTATTTCTTCGAATAGAGCCCCGCCCTCAATTAGGGCCCCACCCTCTATTACAGCCCCACCTTTGGAGGATTGTTGAAAAATAGAGCCCCATGAGGCCGCATTTGAAGAAATACGGTATTTTTATTCTGTCGTGAGGTCTTGCGGCTGTCGGCATCGAAGGTTTTTAGAAAGAGTCTAGCAAAAAGTTTAGCCACCGGGCAGAATTCAAACATGCTACCCCTGACAGTTATTGCTAGGCGCCTTAGCTCACCACGTACAGGAGTTCTAAAGGAGGATCCGGGGCTTTAGTCTTCTCAAAAATCCGGTTAAATTCTAATAAAACTTACAAATTACTAGAAAATATAGAAAAAGCTTCTTTTGGAGTATCGTGGTTATCTAGAATTGAGAAGCGGTCAATGTAAAGTCTGCGCAAGTTTATAATATAATTCTTTAGGGCATCAAAAGTATTATTTTTGTAGAGTAGAGGTCTCTATAAATTAAAGATTAGGAGGGTATCGGGTGATTTGGAGTGTTTAAAGAGAATTTCGACGATTAGAGCGTGATATCGAGGGATTTAGAGGTGTAGGGGTATATCAAGGGATTTAGATATCTTGGGATTTGTTTGAATTAAAGGTACTATTATATACGATGTTCAACTGGAAAAATTGTGTAGAAAAATGTATGGAAAAAATGCTGTGGAAAATTCATTGAATGGAAAGTAAAATAGAACCATCATGGAAAGGGCACAGACCGAAGCACAACCGACTGTGCCACTATCCAACCCGATAAAGGGTTATTTTAATATCACAATAGTTCGTTGATGCATGGGTGTTAATCTCCAACCATCCTACTATTCTTCGGCCTTACAATAGTTCCCTACTGCAAGGCTAGAGGGAAATTCTTCGGCCTTACAATAGAGCCTAAACTGAACTCTTTAATCCTTACCACCTCTCTGTTGAGTTTTTCATAATCTATATCATAAAGACGCCAAAAGAAATATATCTGAGCGCAATTGTGTAAACCATCTGTATTTAATTCAATTCCATGTACTCTTGACTCGCATTCTGTTCTATCAGATGCTGTCCAATTTCTATCATTCGTGCACAACTCCTATACATATAATAAAATTTATTTGTAATGCTAAATCAGAATTTATCGATGTAATGTAGAGATAGAGCTGGTTCTGGACCAAGGCCTGGGGTTTTTCCTGTACCCATAGTCCAGCCTAGGTATTTTTTGCTTTCTGGGGTTTTCCTGTGCTTTTTAAAAGTAAATTGCTACCAATTCAATTTTAAAAATCCGGGCCTGAATTTTGGGAGAGACCATGTAATCCACATTTACAGCAGAGGTGGGCCGGAATTTCGCCCTCCGGCACCTTCGTCATTCCCGATCCATCTCTTCTTTGCAGCAGCCTTATATCTCCTATTTATTAAAACATACTGTATATCCAGAGGAAGTTTTTCTACGGGGATCAATTTTGCTTTTTGACAAGGCTACAACAAGTCTAAGACCTTCAGGCATACATAGAAACTTTGAATTTGGCTATAAAATTCAAAAATTAACAAATTTAAACGTCCAATACCCTTCTAGTTTTTTCCTTAAAATCCTCAACCAATTGAACAATTTCTTCCCTCTGTTGATCAGTTAACATTCCATCAGGGTCACAAACCCAAGCTGGTTTTGCAACTCCACATTTCCAATAATCTGGACCTCTAGGGGATGGATAATCTTGCCAAGTCCATGAATGGGTTTTGATTATTAAACAGGTTAAAATTATTAGAAATTTGAGCATTTCTTTCTAAACTAAATTAAAACTGGTTTTCAATGGAAGATGTAAATACCGTATTTTCTCTAATTGAGCGGCCATCTACAGTCGAACGGCCATCTCCAATTTTCACACTTATTTGTTAACGAGTTTTAATTTATTAATAGCGATCATACTTGACCCATCTATGGAAAAAAGATAAAGCTTATCGAGGGCTTTCGAATGGCATATGATTCATTCGGATTGGATAAAGCATAAAAAAGTTATGAACGGCAAAATTCTAAAAAAAAGAATGGGGGCATATAACACAAGAGTACCTCTAATAGTTATATATATTCGAAAAATAAGTAAAAATTAGTTTTTATCATAAACTTTTTTAACTATTTTGATAAAAAAAATAATTTAAACACATAATATAACGAAATGATATTTAATCTTTAATTGTAAATAATTTTTATTTGCGGGTACCGGACAGAAATCGTAGAAAGACGGGGTTAATTTTTGAAGTTAATTCGATTAGACAGGTTGAAATAAACCATCTTTTAAAATTGATTTGGAATTTTGCAATTTTTTTATTTTATCAATAAATAGAATGATTTACTCTTAACATATAAATTAATTTTAAATTATAGTTAAAAAATAATAGATTTAACAAATTTGGTACAGCTTAGACTCACTAAAAGATACCCAATACGGAGACGTGCGAGACTTGGTTTTGATTCCAAGACTTTTCTTGGGTTTATTTCGGTCTTGGTCTTTGGGTGAAGGGTCAAGTCTTGGTTTCTACTCAATACGATCTAACCCATTTGAAGGGCACAAGGCCTATATGGAGGTAGCTAGCTAGAAATACCTCTTGAGAGTATACTATATGACGGGGCTATCTAAACAATGCCCTAACCCCTTATGTAGATGGATTTATCGGTACTAGACCCTCTCTAAATCAATGATATCCCAATTAATCCAAATGTCTTACACTAATTGAGAGGGACATCGCGGGACGGATATCATGGGTATCAAATCATAAATAGGATATCTGTAGATTATGAGAATTTGAAGTGATATAGGGTGCGGATATAAGTTAAGTGGCTCCCTAATTGCCTAATCGATAGGGTAACTAGGGTAGATACATATGTAGAAAGGCTTAAATAGGCCACTAGATGGGAGAGCTGTTCAAACAATGCCGTTATTTAAGGTATACATCATCATAAAGTATTTTTTTAACCCAAGGAGGTATCATTTAGTCAGTCTTACTGTATTTTGAGGCTTAATAAATTGCTAGCTTCCTCTCTTTCCCTCCTTTTCTCAACAATTTCAACAGGTTGTACTGGTGTCATTAATTGGGTTTCAGTTTTTGAGGCATTCCTCTGATTGAGATAATCTTTTATTTGGCGTATTTGGCAAATTAAAAATAAAAGCACCATGCCAATAATTAATGAGATGATGATTGATATTATTCCTAATCTAAAATTAAATAAAATTATTAAAGTATCGCAATTCTGGAGTTGGATAAAGCCAAAAGATATCGAAAAAGTTAAGTTACAACAAATATATCTTAAGTTTAAAGCAGCTTCTCTAGTGGAGGGTAATCATAACCAAGTCCATTTAGGGACGGATGATTATCCCATGTATATGAATGATAATTTTATCGAAAAAGCTTTGGTACAGCCTTGCGACGGTCAGCATGTAGAACCTCTACTATTCTCTGTCATAATACAGGAATCCCACCTAGAAACCGAGTGATTTTTGTTCCAGTTTCTGATATTCCAAGGATCTCTAGGACCTAAAAGCTTTAATATCAACATTAAACTCACAAATTATTAGAAAATTGTTGAGATGTTGGACTAAATTCCAAAGATCTGGTTATATTTTTCCCAATAAGCTCTTGGGCTTGCGATAGTAATTGTCTAACTTCTGCTAATTTTTTGTCAGTCTCCACTAATGTTTTGTTGATCAAATTCTGATAACTTTATCTTATCCTCATTATAAGCATCTTGGTTATCAAAAATTGATAAGCGTTCCATGTAAATCATGCGTATATTTTCAATATATTTCTTTAGCGCATCAAAATATTTTCTATTGCTAAGTAGATCTTTCTATATTGTATTTAGTATTAGTATCAAGTAGTGATCGAGATTTCGTACCGTTCCGTATTCAGTACTATATTACATACTGTAATGCCGATAAATACCGAAATTTTCATCGGTACCGTATTTTGTACCGTGCTACCGATACGGAGTACTGATAACTACCGAAAAATATGCCTGTAATACGGTACGGTTCAGTGCTGTGAGTCATGGCGTTTGGCGTCCATTTATGGCCGATTTTCGGCGTGATTTAAAAATTTGAAAAAATGGCGTTGCGTTTGACGCGCCACGCAAAAATTTTGGCGTACAGTCCTGGTAATGTCCGAACGATATGGTCCGGCATATGTAGCATGTGCATAATATGTATATGTACCACACAGTTCCTTTGAATCCTTTCAAAGCGTCCGAATTGTTTTACCTCATAAATTGTTAATATTAAGAGATTTGGAGGGATAAAGGAGGATATTAGTGGATTTTAAGGAATATTAAAGGATTTGTAAGCATTTATGATATCTTTAAATTTTTTGAATTTTTTACCCCTATTTTGCTAAGCTTTTCATTTTCTTCATCATGAATGTTTATTAACCATCGCATCTGATGACAATATCGAATCTCATTTTCAGTTAATTCAATACCCACTATATCTGATTCGCATTTTGTTTTATCAGATGAAGTCCATCCATTATTTTTGCAAACATTCTGTAAAATGAAATTGAATCGTATACAGGTGCTTGCCGATTGAGCTATCGAAACGATGCTTTCATCTTAATTTTGTGACACGCCCAAGTAGGCTCGCGGCCAAATAGGCGCAAAGACATAACTAGCTGGAAAATTTCTGACCATTATCAATTTTAGTAATAATCTCTTTAGATCGTCGAGAGGAATCGTTTAATACTTAATTTGATAATTTTTCCCCCGACTAGCAAAAATTCCCCGCGACTAGCAAGCGTTTTAAGTGCTAGATATCTCACTTGACACAATGAATAGGTATATGTATGTACTACAGGGATGGATTTCCGAATTTTTCCTTTCTGCTATCAAAGATTTACGCAATCTAAACCAGTCCTAATTCAACATTAAAGACATACTGTAGAGGGATCTTCACCTAGTAGATCAATTTTAAATCTTGATAAAGCCACAATAAGTCTAAGTCCTTCTCTCATACATGGATACTTTGATTTTGGCTATAAAAATTTTTATTAACTAAGATTATAAATACGCTATAGTAGAGATCGAGCTGGACCTTTACCGGCCTGGGTTTTTCATTCAGAGTCCAGGTCCAGGCATTTTTTACCCTTCCCGAGTTTTTCCTGGACTACAGGCCCAAGATCCAGTCCAGGTCAAGAAATCAAACTCCAGAGTCCAGGAACAGGTCCAGGCTTTTCAAAAATCTCGATCTCTACTCTATACCGGGTACACCCCGATGTGCCGCGAGCCCAATGTACCGCCGAACTATAACTTTGTTCAAATTTGTCGAATCCGTGGCGCCCTGGTATGGTTCGATGCGCCTCGACCAGCTAAATCGAACTATGCCAGGGCGCCACGGATTCGACAATTTTAAACAAAGTTATAGCTCTGCGGTACATTGGGCTCGCGGTACACTGGCCTGCTCCCACTCTATACCTTTTTAGTTTTTTCCTTAAAATCCTCAACCAATTCAACAATTTCTTTCCTTTGTTGATCAGTTAACAAAAAATCAGCATCACAAACCCAAGTTGGTTTTGTAACCCCACATATCCACAAATGTACTCTAGGGGATGGATAAGGACTAATATCTCCATTCCAATACCACGAATGGGTTTTGATAATTAAACAAAATATTATTATTAGAAATTTGAGCATTTCTCAATAAATAAAAATTAATTTTTGGTCTTAGTTTTTATCATTTTTAGAAACTAAATTGATTTAAACACCTAATATAACAAATTTAGTATTTGATCTTTAATTTTTACTTGCGGGGAATGGACAAAAATCGTTAATAGATAGGTTGAGGTTGAAGTTAATTGAACCTGACAGGTTAAAAATAAATCATCTCTCGAGATTGTTATATTTCAAAAAAAAATTTTTTTAATTTAAAAAGTTGCAAAATGTTTATATGTATCAATTATAAATTAATTTTTAAATTAAAGAATAATTAAAAAATGAAATTTAAAAAACTAAGCGCAGTTATACCTCAGTATAGAATAACACCCAATATTAAGCACCCCACAATTTAAGAGGGAGACACGCCCAAATAGGCGCGCGGCCATAACGGCGCAAAGCCGTAACCTGCTAGAAAATTTATGACCCTTATTAATTTTGGTGCCAATTTCTTTAACTCGATGTGAGAAATCGTTTAATACTAAATTTGTTAAGATTCGGAAATCTTGAAGCAAGTTATGACTTTGCGCCGTTATGGCCGCGCGCCTACTTGGGCTGTACCCTTTAGGAGGTGTATCATTTAATTGACCATTGGGTTAATGAGCTAACTAAACACTATCAGCTATTTATGATACCCCTTATTCGTTACAAAGGTTCAAAAACGTGAACAGATATGTTTAAGTTCTCAGCAGAGGTAGGTCGGAACAGTCAGAGGTGTCGGAAATCGGAAGAGCCGGAAATCGGAACTGGCTCAAAAGTCGGAACTCGGAAATCAAATTTTTTTCGGAAATTGGAATTCCGACCCACCTCTGGTACTCAGTTAGGTCAAAAATGTATCTTCGACTGTATATCAACAGAGTTAAAGCTTCACTAAAAGCTTTGTCGCTTCCTCTTCTTCCTCGTTTTCCCTCCTTTTTTCAACAATTTCAACAGGTTGTATTGGTGTCATTAATTGGTTTGAAGCATTCCTCTGATTGAGATAATTTTTTATTTGGCGTATTTGACAAATTAAAAATAAAAGCACCAAGCCGATAATTAAACAAAAAATGATTGATATTATTCCTAATCTGAAATTAATTATTATTACAGCCTTAAGGCTGGCGGTAAAGACGGTCTCTATTAAGTTAGTCGACATTTTGGAACCGTAAAGACGAACTGTGGGATTTTTCGTTATAATTCCTGATATTATAAGACTTCTAGGAACCGATGTCCCTTCTAATAATAACAAACCAATTGTTAATTTTAGTCCTAATATCCCTACTTCATAGTGGGCCTGAAACACTGTAGATGCAAAATATTAGAGTAAAGCTGGATCGTGATAGGGCCGTGAATTTCACGTTGTTCCAGCTGAGGAGGGTCCAGTCTTTCTCAAGACAGTGGATAAATATTGCATTTAATAAGACATAAAACTCACAAATTATTCGAAAATTGTTGAGAAACTGGTCTAAATTCCAAGGGTGTAGTTGTTTTTGTTCCAATCTGGATTTGGGTTTGTGATAGTAATTGTCTCATTTCTGATAATTTCGTGTCAGTTTCCCCTATTGTTTTTTGAAAATCAGTTAACTTTTTGTTGCCTTGATCAAATAATTGCCTCATTTCTGATAATTTTATCTTATTCTCCTCTATCGCTGCGTGGTAATCAGATGATTGTTTATTCAGTTGATCAAGTGATTCACGAACTTCTGCTAATGATCTTTTAGTATCTTGTAAAGAATATTGCACTTCTGATAGTTTTATATTATCCTCATTAGAAACAGCAGGGTTATCGAAGATTGAAAATCGGTGAATGTATAGCATGCGCGTGTTTTCAATATACCTCTTCAACGCAACAAAGTAATTTTTATCTTCAAGATTAAATCCCTATATGAAAATATATTATCAATTTTGATAATAATTCTTATTTTTTTTACACGTGATTTGTTAAGTTTTTCATATTCATCGTTATGAAGAACCATTAACCAACGTATTCGATCGCAATAACGAAAACCATCTGTATTTAATTCAATCCCATGGACATCTGACTCGCATTTTGTTAAATCTGATGACGTCCATCCACCATATGTGCACAGATACTATATAATAAAATTGATTTATACCAAGTCTATATATCCCATGTATTATCCTAGCATTACTTGTATCCTAGCATTACTTGCTCCATATCAATGGATAATAAATAATGTATGTATCGGGGCTTTGGGTGGATTAAGTATTAAGGAGGATTTGTATCGATTGAGAGGGATGGATTAATAGAAATATAATCGGATTAATGTGATATATGGGATCTGGGTGAATCTGGATCTGGGATTCATGTATTTATCCCTCCTTTTTTTGCGCCGCAGGCAAAAATTTTGAATATTTTAGAAGACCATTATGACAAAAATCGGTAAATGCCCAGCTCGCCAAAATTTTCCTTCATTGCGCCGCAGATTGGTTATATTTTCTTTTTAAAAATACAACCAACTTTTTTGGCTGCGCTCGGATTCATCCCCGTGGAATCGTCCCACAGTGCAACCCATTTGAATTCCGAATAGTGTGGATATGGATTACAACTAAATTCGAGACTAAAATTAGGAGAGTACGCATACCAGTCCAATATCCGCAATTAAGTCATTAAAAATTTGCAATGAACTTTGGAAAACCCTATTCATTAAACATACTGTTTGTCCAAAGGGAGGATTTTCAGCACCAATTTTAAATTTGGATAAAGCAACAACAAGTCTTATTCCTTCCTTCATACAAGGATCTGTTGATTTTGGCTTTGAGATAAAAAAATAAAATTTGAATATAAATAAATTCAATACTCTTTTAGTTTTTTCCTTAAAATCCTCAACTAATTCAACAATTTCTTCTCTCTGTTGATCAGTTAACATTCTATCAGGGTCGCAAAGATAGGTTGGTTTTGTAACACCACATCTCGAATAATCATATCTAGGGGATGGATAGTCATACCAAGTCCATGAGTGGGTTTTGATTATTAAACAGGTTAGAATTAGAAATTTGAGCATTTTTATCAATAGAAAAAAATAAAAATATTATTTTTTGATCTTAGGGTTTTACACTCTTTAGGTTAAAGAATAAAAGAAATTAATTTAACAAAATAATAGTGATCTTTAATTTTTCTATTTATTATCAGAAGAGTTAAAGAATTAAATTGACTGTAGACCATACCTGTACGAAACTCCAAATTTTTTTCGAACGAAACGAAACGAAACAAAAATTTTTAAAAATCGTTTCGCTAACAAAACGAAACGAAACAGTCAAAATTTAACGAAACGAAACGAAACAAAACGAAACAATTTAATTTCCAAAAAAATTTAAAAAAAAACCTAATTATTTTATTAACTATTTAATTTTAAGCATGTTAATTAGCCATAATGGCCTATATGTTATCATATAATCATGTGGGGCCACAGAGATTCCCTTATGTCCGTCCATCCAGTCTAATTCACATAGAAAAATTAGTTTTTTTTCCTTCGGTTTCCGAAACTTTTAAAATTTTCGCCGCGGCGGTGAAACAGGAAGCCTTAGGGGTCTTCTAAAAATCTCAAAATTTTTGCTTGCGGTGGTGAAAAAGGAAGAAAAAATAAGTGAAAAAGGAATTTGAAAAAGGAACCCATGATTAGCTTTAACAGATAATACATTTGGTTATCGAGAGTTGTAGATCTACGGTGGGTTATTTATCAGCGCCGCAGGCGAAAATTTTGAGAATTTTGGAGACCAAGGAGCCAGAATTCCTTTTTCAGCGCCGCAGGCAAAAATTTTTTAAATTGACATCATCAAAGGGAAAATTTTACAGTTTTTGGGTAATATTTTGGCTTAAAAAATAGGTAATGTTTCGTTAACGAAACACAGGTGTTTCGTTAACAAAACGAAACGAAACAAATTAAAAAGTGTTTCGTCACGAAACGAGACAAAACAGTATAAAACATAACGAAACTAACGAAACAGCGAAACGAAACGAAACGTTTCGTACAGGTCTGCTGTAGACCGTTTTTCATGAGAACGGGGAGAGTGGTGGGGGGGGGGGGGTATTAACTTTACTAGCAGGTTGATTTAATTTGAGTAGACAGATGAAATGAATCATCCCTTGGGAATTTTTGCAAAAATAATTTAAAAAATATTTTATTTGTTTATCTTTGAAGATGAACAAAATGATTATTAATCAATTATAAATTAATAAAAAAAGATTTACAGAAAATAAAAACATTCAGTAAGGTAGGTAGTTCCAAGTGTGTTGGCTGTTCCAACTAAAAAGGCAGAATATAGTGCAATCTTGGTTCGAATATGCTTCCGAAGATTTCCCAGGAATCGCCAACATCAACAGTCATTAATTTTATATATCTACATATAATATAAAAAGTGTATCTAGTAAAAGAGAGGTGACGGCTTGGCTCCGAGCAGGTCAACCTCCGATTTAACGTCTAAGGTTGTCGGATAGTTGGAAATCCTTGGATGTCCGGATACGATATCCGAACCGAAAATTTCGGATATCCAGTTCCGATATCATAAACAAAAATTTCCGGATACCGGTCTTTTTTCGGATCCAGATATACGGCTCCGACAATTTTACTAACGACAGTTATTGCTAGGCGGTCCGAGCATCTTCCAATCACTAATCTTTATTTGCCAATATATGGATAAGCATATCTCTAATTCAAGATAAACCTCATTATAAGATAATATTTTTCGAACCTAATAGGGCATATCATAAAAGATTTAAGAAATTTAAAGGTTCAATAAAGGCTTTGTCGTTTCCTCCTCGTCCTCCTTTTTTAACAGGCTGTACATTTTGGTGTCATTAATCGGATTTCACTTTTTAAAGCATTCCTCTGATTCGGATAATTTTTTATTTGGCGTATTTGACACATTGCAAATAAAAGCACCAAGCCAATAAATAAACAAAAGATGATTGATATTAGTCCTAATCTGAAAATTAAATATTAATTACAGCCTTAAGGAGACTTAGTCAACATTTTAGAAACGTAAAGGATTTTTCGTTTAAATTCCTGATATTTTAATAATTTATAGGAATCGACCACGCTCCTAATAATACCAAACACTCACTTCAGAGTTGGTTTGAATTATCTTAGAGTGCATTATTATACCTAATATTAGAGTAGAGCCGTGAATTTAACGGTTTTTCAGCTAAGAGGTTCACAGGTTTCTCAGTGACGTTAAATGATCGTCTTGTCTTTCTCAAGACGGTGGTAAATATTGAATTTAATAAGATATAAAACTCACAAATTATTCGGAAATTGTTTAGATGGTGGACTAACTTCAAAGTTTATATCCCTTCCATTAAGGAAGTGTGATAATAATTGTCTCATTTCTGATAATCTTATCCTATTCTCCATTATATCTGAATGAAAATCTGCTGATTGTTTATTTTGTCGATTAAATGATTGCTGCATTTCTGTCAGTTTTAAATTATCTTGATTAGAAGCATCTTGGTTATCGAAAATTGCGAATCGGTGAATGTAAAGCATACGCAAATTTATCATATATCTCTTTAGCGCATCAAAATACATTTTATCGTCGAGATTATATCCCTATATGGAATATTTAATCAATTTTGATCATTCATTTTTACCTCGGATTTGTTAAGTTTGTCATATTCATCTTTTTGAAGGGTCATTAGCCAACGGGTCTTATAGCAATGACGAAACCCATCTGTATTTAGCTCAATTCCATGCACATCTGACTTACATTCATTTCCATCAGATAATGTCCATCTTCTATCATTTGTACACAAATGCTACAAAATAAACTATATCTTGTTATCCTACTATTTTTTACTGTATATCCTGTTGAACTATCTTCATAACCAATTTTAACTTTTGCTAAGGCAACAACAAGTTTAAGTCCTTCCCTCATGCATAAAAGCCTGGATTTTGGCTATAAAAATTTTTGTTTAATAAAATCATATATACAAAACTCTTCTAGTTTTTTCCTTAAAATCCTCAACTAAGTCCACAATTTCCTTTCTCTGTTGATCAGTTAACATTCCATCAGGATCACAAACATATGTTGGGTGTGAAACACGACATTTCGAATAATCTGGTCCTCTAGGGGATGGATAATCACTCCATGTCCACGAATGGGTTTTGATTACTAGACAAATTAGAATTATTAGAAATTTGAGCATATCTCTCAATAAAAATTTAGTAAAAATTAATTTTGGAGCAAGTCTTTTATTATTTTTTTGCCCAAAAATTAAAATCAAATAATTTAAACACCTAACATAATGATAGTTTTGATCGTTGATTTTCTTATTTTTTTATCAAATTGGCTAAATAGAACTAGTTATGAGAGGGGGTATCAACCTCACTACTAGATAGGTTGATTTAATTTAATTAGGGGTTTAATGAATCACCCCTTGAGAATTTATTTTTGCAAAAAATATAAAAATATTTTATTTCATAATCTTTAAAGATGAAAAAAGTGATTACTAATCAATTTAAATTAATGAAGATAAAAATTTTAAAGAAAATTGGAGTAAGGTTGGAGTAAGTTTAAGGCAAGGTTGAGAGTAAAGTTAGTAGTTCCAGGTATTCGGAACTGAAAAAGGCCAGATATCCGTAAATTCTCGGTTTGGATAGAGCTACCGTTCCATGTCCGGAGAGTTCCTAAAAGCCGCCAACCCTAACTGTCAGTAATTTTAGATATTACTCCATAATTTAAGATAACCTCCTTGCAAAATTCGCCCAATACTAAATACAGATCAGAGATGTCACGAGTTACCCGAAACGCGACACGACTTTTTTTCAACACGTGACAGCCCTGATGCAAATATTTTAAGAGATATATCATTTAATAGGTCAATGGTTGTGATAATTGCTCAAGAGTACCCTCTAGAATACCCTCGTTATGAAATACAAATTTCCGAACCACAAGTGTATCTTACAATAAACTTTTAATGTTAGGGTTTAATAAATTTTTGAAAATTCTTCGATTTCCTCCATCCTATCCTTCTTATCTTCAAAAACTTCAACTGTGCATTGGCATTATTAATTTCATTTCAGTTTGTGAAGCTTTGCTCTTATCAAAATAATTTTCAAGTTGATGAATTCGATAAAATAAAACTACAAGCACCAAGCTAATAATTACACAAAATATGATTGACGCTATTCCTGATCTGAAATTGAATTGAAAATCTAATTTGTTTAAAGAGTTGGGGTGTGAGTAAGTTTGGCGGTTCCGGTTATCCGGAACCGAAAGAGGACGGATAACCGAAAATTTTCGGTTCGGTTATCGGTTCCAGTTCCGGATAACGGAAGATTTCCTAGGAACCGCCACCCTTAGGTGTGAGGCGCTGGGCCATTTTTTGACACTTAGGGAAACCCTAAATTCATGAAAATTTTCTCAAATTACTTTAACATCCATGACTACCTCTTCCAGAAATTTCAAAATTTTTCATCGAGTATTTTCAAGGTTATAGTCGATAACCCTAGAAAAATTGGGCATTTTTCGGGGAATTGACATTTTTGGACATAATTTCAGAAAATTTAGCTTTCGAGTACTTAAAAAATATATTAGGGTTATTGAAATCTTATTACCCATCTAAACTTAATTACCCTTCGTATTACCCTTCTAAACTTTATTACCCTTCTGCATATTAACGTTTCTAGATAGTTCCTAAGGCTATGCAGTAGGCGGCGTGGTGTAATGGCTAACACATCAGTCCGGTCTACTGAAGATGCTGATTCGCTCCCAGCCGCCGATTAATTTTTTGCACTAGCTAATGGAGAGAAATAGTTATAGCCCAGCTGCTTTACTCGATTTTATAAGCTCGAGTCAAAATGGCACTGAGCAAAACGGCCCAGTAGCTGACAAAAACCTTAAACTCACAAGTTGTTAGAAGGTTGTTGGGGGCATTTATCTTCATTAGAGACATCAGGATTATAGAAGATTGAGTAGCGGTTTATGTAAAGCATGCGCAAGTTTATGATATAATCCTTTAGTGCATCAAAATAATTAGTCTTGTAGTAATGCGTCTGTATTTGATATAGATTATATAAGATTATTATTAGAGTTCGAATCCGAATTTGGCCAGGATTTCACAGGATCGATAGCCCGGTAGCCTGGGATTTTCATGAAATGCGGGGTTTGAGTTAGCCATGTTTTCAGGTCAGTTTGGAAGGATAAACACGGATAACGTGTACATAAATGTGCAATGTTCTACTGTGGAACCTCTCAAAATCATGAAAATACTACGGTGGAATCTCTTATACCAACAAGGATGGGACGATTGAGAAGAAAGTTGGGTCGGTTTTAAAATTTTCTTCGGATGGGGTTTTTTTCTTAACTGGGTTAAGGCCAGGGCTGGGCTTATTTCGCACTTTCGCGTTTCGCATCTTTCGCATTCTCGCATTTTTCAGCGCGAAAGTTTCGCATTTCGCTTTTTATTTTTAGATTTCGCCCAGCCCTGGTTAAGGCCAGTTAGGAAACCTTTTATTGAACACATTTCCATTGAAAAGGTCGGGGTTTCGGGTCGGGTGTTCGAAAATGTCTCGGGCGGGTTCGCGTCGAGGGTCCTAGCCGGGGGTAACCCGTCTCATCATGTTGCCCAAGTGAGGCGTTATGGATTCTACTGTATTTACTCAATTTTGTTTAGATAGTTTCGAACCCCTTACTCAAATTTTCTTTTATTTTTTACCCCTGTTCGTTGAAGCTGTTCATATTCGTCCTTATGAAGTGCCATAAATAAATGTATCCAACGGCAATAGCTGAAACCATCTAAATTTACTTCAATTCCTTGTACATTCGACTCGCATTTTGTTGAATCAATTGATGTCCACCTTCTAGTATTATTTGCGCACAACTCCTAAAAATAGAGGACAAAATAGGTACACATTTGGACCCGCTTAGAGTTACGGCTTAAAGCGATACCTATACATAGCAAGACTTTGAAAGGCCACCCATGTAGCCACCCAAGAGATACACCTCTTACACTAGGGAGTGGTTTTACATAAAAAATCAATCCTGAGTCCTTTGTCCGCACTTCAATTTTAAAATCCGCAACATCATAAAAATCGTCAGATCCTTCTTTATCCCCTTATATTACTTGATCTCACTCTCAATGACCCAACTCCACGGAAGAAATATTATCATTGATTCTCCACACGGAGCCGTAACAACATGGAGCGGCTCCGAAAACGTCGGCTGGAGCCGAAAAAAGCACAGTCCTAAGTCGATTGTCCACAATTCTATCTTAAAATCCGCAACGAGACTTGGGAACTTTTTTTGAGAATGGACTGACCCTCATGGACCCTTCACCCTATTCATTAAAAACATACTGTAAAGTCAACAGTGGAATCATTTGAGGGACCAATTTTAACTTTAGCTAATGCCACAACAAGTCTGAGACCTTTTCTCATACATTGATGTATTGAATTTGGCTATAAAATTCAAAATTGGCGGGAAAATAAAATTTAAATAGTCTCCTTACTCTTTTAGTTTTCTCCTTAAAATCCTCAACCATGTGGACAATTTCTTCCCTCTCTTGATCAGTTAACATCCCATCAGGATCACAAACATAAGTTGGGTGTGAAACACCACATTTCCAATAATCTTGTCCTCTAGGGGATGGATAATCATCCCAAGTCCATGAATGGGTTTTGATTATTAGACAGATTAAAATTAGAAATTTGATCATTCCTCTCAAGGGGAAAAAAATAAAAATTAGTTTGTGTTGTTATATCATCCCAGTCCGGTCTCTATTCTGAAGGAACTTATCATGGATGAAAAGAGAAACAGTGCCCTCCTCTGATTTTTAACAAAGGGGTAATATTATAGTGATGGATTTTTAACTTTAAATGCCTAATAAAGGCCACTAGATGGACGAGCGAGAACACTTTCCACTTACCCACATTTAAAATAATCTGGTCCTCTAGGAGATGGATAATCTTGCCAAGTCCATAATCTTCCCAAGAACTTGATTATAATTAAGTTACTTTTGAGAAAGGGGTTTTGATTATTAGACAGGATAAAATTAAAAATTTGATCATTTTTATCGATAAATAATTAGAAAATGATTTCGTTCTTAAATTTTAAACTCCTCTTTGTCCAATTTTCCATCTGGTTCTCTTTACCTTCCTTCTTTACTTGAGAAGGGAACTTGATTATAATTAAGTTACTTTGAGAAAGGGACATAAACTTGTTTCGAAATAGGTTGAAGTTAATTTGATTAGACAGGTTTAAATGAACCATCTCTCGAGATTGGGTTTAATTTACAAAATAATTGAAAATAAATTTTTTTTAAATTTAAAGATAAACAAAATGAATATTCATCAACTATAAATAAATAAGAATAATTTAAAAAACAAGAAATTTTAAATAAAATTGGCACAGTCAAACTCAATATAAAATACAACCAATACGAGATACTCTCCAGATTTTATCCTTTAAAATCTAGAGAGACGTATTATTTAATGATTACTTGAGGAAGGAGATGCCAAAGCCCTCTTTGAGATAAACCTTCTAAGTAGGGTTGGGATTTTCGAACCGGGCCTACGTTCGGGTCATTTGTTTCGGGCCCCATTTTTATCGAACCCAACATCGAGTCTTTTTTCAGGCCAAAATTCGATGCCCGATTCGATCTTTTGAACCGAACCGGACCCGTAAGGATGATTTACATAGCAGCATTCATAAGGATAAAACTCACTGGTAGAGCTCCTTCATATGGTGAGCGAAAGCGCCTAGCAATAAATACGAGAAGGTTAATCCTGCCTGATAGCCAAACTTTTGGTAAACTCTTTCTATATTAAGGTCCGACTGTACTTGTAGAACTTTAAAGGTTTACTAAATTTCTAGCTTCCTCTCTTTCCCTCCTTTTTTTAACAACCTCAACGGGTTGCATTGGTGTCATTAATTGGGTATCAGTATTTGAGGCATTCTTCTGATCGAGATAATTTTGTATTTGGCGTCTTTGACAAATTAAAAATATAAGAACCAGGCCAAGAATTAAAGCAATGATGATTGATATTATTGCTAGTCTAAAATTTAAGATAAAATAGGTATTTTAAGATAATTTTGGAGCTGGAGCGGGGTCATTGAGTGAGTTAATTACAGACTTGCGAGGACGGCATGTGTCCTTACTGAGCTTTCGAAACCGGAAAGAAGAACCAAAAATTTTCTGTTCTATTTCCACCTTAAAGCACGATTCATAAGTAGGGTTGCCAAAATGGACCGACTCGGACCGAAAGATCGAGTCATGCCTCGATGTTCGGCCCGAAAAAGTCTCGTACCGGCCCGACTCGATAAATTTGGGCCCGAAAAAGACTCGTAACGGCCCGACTCGATAAAGTTAGGCCCGAAAGTGACTCGTACCGGCCCGACTCGATAAAAGCAGGCCCGAAAAAAATTGTCTCGGAAAAAGTCGGCCCGACTCGAACGAGACTCGATAATATTTTTACCAGATTTGTGGACAAAAATGGATGAAATCTGGCTCCTTGGCCTTCCAAAATTCGAAAAATTTTCGCCTGCGGCGCTGAAATGAAGGATTTTTGCTCCATACTTTGCTTCACATCTCGAACTTACTGGCTTTAATTGATAAGCTGGATTACTGGGAGTTATGGTATATATTCCGCGGGATCCCGTCATAATTTGAACTTTGAAACTCAATCAGTTTTGAGAGTCCACAATTTTCCGCAGTCCGCAATTTTAACTTTAAAATACGCAGTCGCAATCCATTCTTCTACTAATTTTTTCCCCCTTTCCCCTATTTCGGGGGGGGGGGGGGGGGCTCTAGCAGCCCCACTGGACACGCCCTTGGATTAAGTGTACGAGGAATTTATTAAGTGTACGAGGATCAAGGATACGAGGAATTTTAGCATACAGCGGGATTTTATTAAGGGATTTGGTGATTAACGCACGATATCCCCGATATCCCTTCAAATCTCCTCATTCCTTCTAAATCCCATTACAATATATCACCTTAATCATCTGATATACGATCCTGAACCCCTTAATCATCTGATCTCCTTTAATAAAACCAAATCTAGCAATATCTCATCCCAATCCTCCAATAATTTAAATCACCTTAATCCCTCAAATCCACTGATATCCATTTCAATTCTCTTCAGCCCTTCCTTTACCTTCCAGATCCATCGATATACCTTTTAATTCACAGATATCCCTCCAAATCCACTAATTATTTTTAAATAAATCTTTTAAAAAAAGACTCGAAAATGTCTCGATGCCCGACTCGATAAAGTCAGGCCCGAAAGTGACTCGTTCCGGCCCGACTCGATAAAGTTAGGCCCGAAAAAGACTCGTATCGGCCCGACTCGATAAAAACAAGCCCGAAAAAGACTCGTATCGGCCCGACTCGATAAAAACAAGCCCGAAAAAAAATGCCTCGACCGTCGGCCCGACTCGAAAACGGCAACCCTATTCATAAGGATGTTAAGACACGATATGCACATTATATTAGGCTGAGCAATTTTTTTGGCATTACATCTTAATGGATATTTTTCGAGAGCTTGGGTTAAAAGACATTTGGATTATCTCTCTTTTTTTGGGATCGCGCCCATTGTACCGCAAACCCGCCTCAAAATTTTTTTATTTCTCTTCCTTATTGGATCCCCCGCTGACGGAGAACAACTTCCCCCGCTGACGGAACTATGGGCGGACGGTAAATGAGCGGCGGTACATTGGGCTCGATGTAAAATGTGGGTGTACCCCTCTTCAAAGCACTTCAACTCACAATTTATAAGAATATTGTTGAGGAGACTTCTCGTTAAAAACATCATCGTTATCGAAAGTTGAGAAGCGTTGAATGTAACGGTTGCGCAAGTAAGTGATATAATTCTTTAGAGCATCAAATGTATTATTTTTGTTAAGTAGAGCATTCTAAATATTATGCAATGTGCAGGGAGATATATGGGGAGATAAGAAATTTCTTGTATTTTTACCCCTGCATTTGCGAGCTTATAATAGTCATCTTCATGAATGTTTACTAACCAACTTAAGATATAGCAATGATTAATTTCATCTTTATTTACTTCAATCCCCTGTATATCCGACTCGCATTTTGTTGTATTAGATAACTTCCAATGATTTATAGCATAATTGCACAAATACTATAATACAATTGAATTATTTATAGTTGACGGACCAACTTCCAGCGTTGACGGATCAACTTCCCCCGTTGATTATTAAACAAGTTAAATTAGTTATAATGGGCCCCCGGCAGGGTTGTCGTTTCCAAACCACTAAAATGGGGCGCAGCCACTCAAAAATAGGGAAAAAATAGGGCGAAATTGGTAAAAAATAGGGCAAAAAATAGGGCAATATTTTAAAAGCTTAAAATTTATTGAAATTTCAAATAAAAAGGCTTATTCCGCATGTTCTCCACTAGTTTTAACTAAATTTCTAAAAAACAGAAAAGTTCAGATTAGAGACCAGACTGGGAATGTCGTACGTGAATAGTACGAGATATCTCGAAAAACTGAAATATTTATCGTAATACAATCGCAAGAGAAATTCGATAATCAAGTTTATCTTCAAGAGCTTTGTAACCAATAGATTTCTTCCATATTTAGCAAAATTTTGAGAATTTTGTAAAGTTATGAAACCAGATTTTTTCCTTTTTTTAGCGCCGAAGGCGAAAATTTTGAGAAATTAAGAAGAATAATGTGAGATATTTCTTTTTTCAGCGCCGCAGGCGAAAATTTTGGGAATTTTTATGTCCAAGAGTTAGATTTTTTGTTTTTTTCGCATTTTATATACAAAATGCCTGAAAATTTTAAAAATATTACAAAATGTTGAAAATAGGGCAAAATATGGCAAATGCATAAAATAGGGAAAAAATAGGGCGAAAAGGCCAAAAATAGGGAAAATCCCCTATAAATAGGGTAAAACGACAACCCTGAGGGAGATATATGGGGAGATAAGAAATTTCTTGTATTTTTACCCCTGCATTTGCGAGCTTATAATAGTCATCTTCATGAATGTTTACTAACCAACTTAAGATATAGCAATGATTAATTTCATCTTTATTTACTTCAATCCCCTGTATATCCGACTCGCATTTTGTTGTATTAGATAACTTCCAATGATTTATAGCATAATTGCACAAATACTATAATACAATTGAATTATTTATAGTTGACGGACCAACTTCCAGCGTTGACGGACCAACTTCCCCCGTTGATTATTAAACAAGTTAAATTAGTTATAATAGGCCCCCGGTATACTGGGCTCGCATTATAATGGGCGACGGTATACTGGGGTGTACTCTCATTAAAAACATACTGTATGTCCAGAGTCAATTTTATCCTTTGCTAAAGCCACAACAAGTCTAAGTCCTTCTCTCATACATTGATATTTTGAATTTGGCTATAAAAATTAATGATTAACGATGTAAATATTCAATACTCTTTTAGTTTTTTCCTTAAAATCCTCAACCATGTAGACAATTTCTTCCCTCTGATCATCAGTTAACATTCCATCAGGGTCACAAACATATGTTGGTTTCGAGACTCGACATTTCCAGAAATTTGTTCCTCTAGGGGATGGATATTGTGGGTCAGAATACCCAGAAAACCAACTCCATGAATGGGTTTCAATTATTAAACAAGTTAAAATTAGAATTTTGAACATTACTCTTTAAAATATAATAAAGTACTCTTGTGTTATCTCCCCTTATTTTATTTTTCTTCTCCTTTCCTTTTCCTCTCCATCAGAGGTGGGTCGGAACAGTCAGAGGTGTCGAGTAACTGGCTCAAAAGTCTGAAATCGAAATTTTGACCCAGCTCTGCTCTCCATAAAAATTACACATGAATCTGATTCACATGCTGTTGAGGAATTATGGCGATAGGTACCCAGCCCTGGTTTTAAGGACCAATGCCCACACTATTGTGCTGATGTATGGTAGCTCTGTATATAAAGTCCTTTAATTTTAAAACATGGTAACTCGCGACATAGATTCAATTTGACCCATGTGTACATATTTTTTCGAGGAAAATATTTTTGAAAAAATAATATATGTATAAATTTTTCGAGAAATAAATAGAAATATAAAATGGAAGGAGATAAAACAAGAGTAGCTATAATATTCGGTACGGATCATACCTGGGCGAAACTCCAAATTTTTTCGGTCGAAACGAAACGAAACAAAATTTTTTAAAGATCGTTTCGTTAAGAAACGAAATGAAACAATCTAAATTTAACAAATATATGAAATATCATGAAAATTATTGGTAAATTGTTGGCAGAATAATATTGAATAATTCTAGTTTTGAAATTTTTTATCGCCTTTTTGTTTAATATAACTAGTTCTCTCTTTTTTCCAAATCAAAAGAGAAATAGAATTGTAAGTTTGTTACTTTGAGAACCTGATATAAACGTATTACTAAACAGGTTGAAGTTAATTTACTTGGACAGGTTAAACAAACTTTATTTGGAAAATTAAAGAGAAAATTTATTTGCTGAATAATGTAAAAATATTTTTATTTCCTAACTTTGCGCACAATGATTACTCATTAATTATAAATTTATTTTGTAATTAAGAACAACTCAATCAAACTTCCCTTTAGATTATAAATAAATTTTTAATTATAAATAATATAAATTGTAAATAGATTACAAACAAGGAAGTACCGTATTACCTCTAATTGAATGCCCCCCCCCCCTTCTAATTGATGCCCTCCTTTTATTTGAATGCCCCTTTGGAAGGTATTTGAAAAATAGAATATCCGAGCCATGGGTAGGCGCAAAAGACAATTTCTAAAAACGCAGGACGCAATGCGGCGCTCACCCTTGCTCCAGGCATTTATTTAGAGGTATTACGGTATATTATCGTGAGGCCCGCTATTATTTTCTGGACAACATAATTTTACTAAAGGCTACTAGATAACGATGTAAAGGTTAATCAACCGACTTATCCTGCGTAGCTCCCTAGCTGACGATTGGAGCTCTATGTACTCTTAGCCCTCTCCCTAGACTCCCTCACTTGACGATGCTTCCACCTTCTCTTTGGATATATCCTAAGCCCCCGCCTAGTAACATTTTATGTGCTAGCCAGCTATATTTTTATCTTCCTTGCGCCTCTAAGATGTGGCCTCATTGAAATATACAATGTTTTCAGTCCAAGTGGGGATATTAAATTGAATTCTGACTTTATTTTAAAAAATTTTAAAGGTTTAAGAATGGCTTTGAAGCTTCCTCTTCTTCCTTCTTTTCTTTCCTTTTTTCAATAATTTCAACAGGTTGTATTGGTGTCATTAAGTGGTTTGAAGCATTCCTCTGATTAAGATAATTTTTTATTTGGCGTATTTGACAAATTAAAAATAAAAGCACCAAACCAATAATTAATGAAATTATGATTGATATTATTCCTAATCTAAAATTATTATCAGAATATTGTAAATGCAGGGGGAATTATCAGCCTTGAGGCTGCCAATTGGCAACATCTATAATATGTACATACCGTATATCCTTTAATAAACACCCTGGGTAATCGACCTTCCGCTTTAGGGAGTACTTAGGCGAGGGAGGGAATTACGAGGTTTAAAATTTGAAACTGTTTTATGGCATTTGTTTGGGGTAATTATTGTTTCAATCTATCGTTGGGTGGGGTAATTAATGGAAGTGGGGTAATTATTTGAGGGGGGGGGGCAATTAATATAGGCTATACGGTATTAACTTTGCCGTTGTTACGGGAATGGACAGAACAATAGAGGAATTTTCGGTTCAGTTTTGATATCCTAAGAATTTCTAGAACCGATAACTCCTCTAAATACATATTTATACAAAACAAAACCCACAAATTATTGGAGAATTGCTTAGATGAAGGAAATCCTTTGTGTGTAGTTATATTTTTTCCAATAAGCATTTGGTCTTGTACTTGTCTCATGTCTGACAATTTTTTGTTAAGATCCTCTATAGCTGTGCTAAATTCCGTAGATTTTTTGTTCTGTTGATCAAGTGATTGCCGCATTTGGAATAATGTTTGTTTAGTATCTTGCAAGGAATGTTGCACTTCTGTTAGTTTTATCTTATCCTCATTAGAAGCATCTTGGTTATCGAAAATTGAGAAACGGTGAATGTAAAGCATGCGCAGGCTTATAATATAATTCTTTAATGTGTCATAATAATTATTTCCGTTGTAACTTTTCTAAATATATACATATTTTGTTTAGAGTTATCTTAGAGTTTTTTGTTTAGAGTTTTTTTGTGGCCACCTCCAGCGAAAAGTCTTTCCTTTCGATTCGAAAGAAACACGTGAATGCTCGAATAATTACCCTCTCTCAAATAATTTCCTCCTTGATCTATTGAGATATACACCAATTTTAGCACCAGCTCTCGATTAATTACCCCCTCCAGCGAAAAATTATTCGAGCAGTTACGGTAACCGAAACTTACCCATGCATTGTCGAGCTGTTCAAACTCGTCTTTATGAAGGTGCAATAAATAACGTGTCGAATCGCAATAACGAAAACCATCTGTATTTAATTCAATTCCATGTACTGGCTCGCATTTTGTTGCATCATATGACGCCGTCCAATTTCTATTATTTCCGCACAAATACTATAAAATTGAATAATTTTATCAATCTTATATAAAAATATTCGAATTGAATCTGGCAACAATCGGAAAACATTTACGTAGCTACGCTATTAAAAACAGTTGTATAAGACCATACAGTTGTTCCATCTGAACCATCTTCAGGACCAATTTTATATTTTGCTAAGGCAACAACAAGTCTAACTCCTTCCCTCAAACACGTATATATTGAATTTGGCTATAGAAATTGAAATTGGCGGGAAAATAAAATTTAAATAGATTCCTTACTCTTTTAGTTTTTCCCTTAAAATCCTCAACCAATTCGATAATTTCTTTCCTCTGTTGATCATTTAACATTCCATCAGGATCACAAACATAGGTTGGACTTAAAATGCCACATCTCCAATAAGTTATTCCTATAGGGGATGGATAATCATTCCAAGTCCATGAATGGATTTTGATTATTAAACATGAAAGAATTAGGAATTTGAGCATTTCTCTCAAGGGGTAATGATAAAAATTATTTTGTGGTTTAGTCTTTTTACCTTCTTACAAAGATTAAAATTAATTTAGCACCAAATATAAACAAATAATTATTTAAACTTTAATTTTTTCCTTTATTTTGCAATTGAGCAGACAGTAGAGGGGCAAAAAGTGTTGCTAGACAACTTTAATTTTAATTTAATTAGATGGGCTGAATGAATCAGCCCTCTAGACTGATGCCTTTTTGCAAAAAATACGAAAAATTATTTTAATCTTTTTAACTTTAACTATAAACAAGAATATTATTCATTAAATGTAAATTAATCTTTAACCTAAGCATAGGTAAAAAAGAGAGATTTAACAAATTGGTACAGTCAGACCTCACTTATAAAATACTCCCAATCAGGGCTAGGCGCAATTGCGGATTACGTGAAATTTAGAGTTGGACAAAACAATACTATTATTGGCCAATCCGGAACCGAGATTGACCGATTCAAGAACCCGATACCGAGACCGATACCATCCTTTTGAGCCGAGATTTTTTGATTTGTGGTTTGCGGATTTTAAAATTAAAATTGCGGATTGCCGCTGAGATACTGAGATACTAATACGAGATACTTCAATGTATAAGAGGTGTATCATTTACCGTAAATGCTAAAATAATTACCCCTCAAATAATTACCGCCGCCCTGTTAATTAACCCCTCGAAGCGATAATTACCCAGAGTATTTATTTCAAAAAGTACGGTAATTGCCTAATGGTAGAGGGGCTCTTAAGCGATATCACTCTTAAACTATAAGTATCGTTTGCGCAGGTGTATCGTTTCAAGCGTAACTTTAAGTGTGGTCAAACTGTAATAAAATTTAATCTTTTAATAAAGGTTTTGTCGCTTCCTCGCTTCCTTCATTTTCCCTCCTTTTTTCAACAATTTCAACAGGTTGTAATGGTGTCATTAACTGGATTTCAGTTTTTGAAGTATTCCTTTGAGTAAAATAATTTTCGAATTGACGCATTCGATAAAATAGCACCATGCCAATAATTAAAGAAATTATAATTGATATTAGCCCTAATCTAAAATTAAGGCTAAATTATTGTTTAATAGGTAAGGCGAACTTTAAACCCAAAGGCTAACGAACTTATTAATTTAATGTTATATTTCCTATGTGAATAAAGGCGTTTATCATCTCAGCGTTAACATCTATGCTTCGGCAAGCCTGAGAACCTGATCAACACTCATAGCTTTACCGATTAAGCCGAAAGGTTCCTGAACCTGAGTCTTATCAAATAAACCAGAAGGAAAGAACATCGCCAGCACGCTTGCGTGCTGTGTTTCTAAGATAAAGAGCTCTAGCTAAGATAAAGAGCTATAGTGCTCACTTGGTCTCACTCACATTTTGTTTGTGACCCTCCAACTTAGTTAATAAGGTAACAACTTTTGGTAATTATAGCCTACAGCCTGCGGAATTGGCGGCATTTCGTAAATTTTATCCTTCGGGCTTAAAAGCATAAATGAGGATTCCTTCTTTACGATCCACTCTCTAATAAAGGTGTTAAATCTTAATAATAAATTTAAACATCTTACAAATTATTAGAAAATATAACAATAAATTTTGAGGACGTAGTAGTTATATTTTTTCCAATAAACATTTTGCCTTGTATTTGTTGCAATTCTGATAATTTTCTGTTAGTATCTTGCAATGAAAGGTGCAATTGTAATAGTGTTATATTTTCCTCATTTGAAGCGTAATCATCGAAAATTGAGAAGCGGTTTATGTAAAGCATCCGCAAGTTGTTAATATAACTCTTTAATGCATAAAAATAGTTTTTATTGGTGAGTTGATATTTCTGTATAAATAATTGAACAATTTTGTTTTATTCAAACTAGTGATTTTTAATAAACTTTTCATAATTTTTACCTCAGCTTTGCCGAGCTTTTCATATTCTTCCTCACCAAGGATCATAACCCAACGTGATGAATAACAATAACGAATATTATCTGTATTTAACTCAATTCCATGTACAACTGAATCGCATACTGAAACTTTTCTACCAGATGATGTCCAATTTTTGTGGCACAATTGCTATATAATAAATTGAATTTTAAGAATCCGAAACTGAAATCCATAGTTACATAATCATCAAAAACATACCGTTAATACAGAGGAACCATTAACAATACCAATTCTATCTGTCGCTAAGGCTACAATAAGTCTAAGTCCTTCCCTCATACATGGATCTTTAGAGTTTGGCTATAAAATTATATTTTTAATCGAAAAAAGCCTTCAATACCCTTTTGGTTTTTTCCTTAAAATCTTCAACTAAATCAACGATTTCCTTCCTTTGTTGATCAGTTAACACTCCATCAGGATCACAAACATATGTTGGCTTTAAAACACCACATTTCCAATAAGTTGTTCCTCTAGGGGATGGATAATCCTTCCAAGTCCATGAATGGGTTTTGATTATTAGAAAGATTAGAATTATTAGGAATTTGAACATTCCTCTCAATAAAATAATAAAATTAGTTTGTGGTTTAGTCCTTTTCCCTTACTTTTCTTTTCAAAAACTGTAAATTAATTTAAAAATCAAAAATAATCAAATAGTATTCGATCTTTAATTTTTCTATTTTTTTTATCAAAAAAGTTGAACAAACAGGAAGTTTGTTGTCTTTTGGGCAAGGAGAGACAGCCAGTGGTGGAAGAGGCAGCCAGTGGGTGAAGGAGACAGCCAGTGGGGGAAGGAGACAGACTGTGTTACTATAAACAACTTTGAAGTTAATTTGATTAGAGAGAAAAAGAGACGAAATGAATCACTCCTCGAGACTGATTTTCTTTTGCAAAATAATTAAAAAATTCCAAAAATATTTTTTAACCTTTAAATATAAATAAAATAATTACTCATGTCAGCAATTATAAATTAATCTTTAAATTAAAGAATAAAATAATCAACGCGCATTAAAAAATAAAACTTTAATTAAGAGGTGTATTATAATGAGTGGCACAGGGAGAGAGAGATAATAAACTGATCTCTTTTTGCAAAAAAATTTTTAGAAAAACAAAAATTTTTTATTTTTAGCCTTAAATATAAGGAGACAGAGATTTTAAATATTTTAAAGGTTTAATAAATTTTTTGGGGTTTCTTCAACTCCCTTCTTTTTATCCTTCTTATTTTCAACAACTTCAACAGGTTGTATTGGTGTCATTAATTGAAGTTCTATCTTTGGAGCATTCCTCTGATTAAGCTCATTTTTAATTTGTCGGTTTTGGTAAATTAAAAATAAGAGCACAAGGCTAAGGATCAGACAAAAAATCATTGCTATTATTCCGTATTTGTTGTTCCTCTCTAAAGCTTCGTTAAATTCTGATAATTTTATGTTAGCCTCATTAGAAGCATCAGGGTTATCGAAAATTGAGAAGCGTTGAATGTAAAGCATTTGCAATTTTTCAATATAACCCTTTAGCGCAGCAAAATAGTTTCCATTTTTTAGTAGAGGATTCTGTAAAAAAATAATGAGAGTATTAAATTCAAATGAAATTTATTGGTACTACCGAAGCATATAAGAAGGTACTACCGTATGTGCTCAATAAGTACCTTCTCACAAATTTTACTTCCTCTCATAAATTTGACCACCTCACGCCAGGCGATGAGAAAACGGTACCCTCCGGTTATCTCCCCCACATTTTCCTTTCGTCTTCCTTCTTTTCTCCTTTTCAAAATGGTTGAGGCAAATAATCGTCAGGAATCATATATTTAATTTAAAAAGGCAGTAAGTATCAGGGATAGGACGATTGAGAAATAGTTGGTCGGATTTCGGATCGGGTTTTAAAATTTTTTCGGACAAGTTTCGGATCGAAAAAAGATAAAATTTTGGCTCTCGGATTTCGGACGAATTTAACTGTAAGAAGATTTTCTGGCAGAACTTTTTAATGGATATGTAAGAAAAAAACGGAAATCTGGACACATAAATAAGTTCGCCTTGTCTTATTTTTTTCCTGTAAATATTGTCTGGCAATTATTTTGTATTTGACCATTTTGTACTTTTTAGGTGAAATTAAAGAGGGAAAAAATTAACTCTCGTAACATGAGAATACCGAAAAACAATTACCCTTGGTAATTATTTGAGTGTATACGGTATCAACGTTTGTTGTAATATTTCTGGAATATGTCAAATTATCAAACTAGGTATATACATATGTTGATAATCAACTGTCTTAAACTTTTTATAATCCTTACTTCTTCTCTAAGCTTTAAAAAGTCTCTTTCATAAAGAGTCCAAGTTAAATATGTCTGAGAGCAAAAACGAATGCCATCCATATTTAATTCAATTCCCTGTACATCAGACTCGCATTTTGTTTTGTCAGAGGACGTCCATCCGCCATAGTCGCACAAATACTATAAAATAAAATCGTTTTGTATTAAACCTCACTTTATTAATGTAATGTTGAAATTAAACCATTGATCAAACACAAGTTTTTCTAATCAAATTTAGTCCTATGTCCACTGTCTACAATTCAGTTTTTAGAATTTGAATTCGGGTTAAGTTGTGCAAAAAACACCAGGGAAGAGTCGGGTTACCCGAAAACAGATACTAGAAACCCGGCCTGAAGGATTTTCGAACCCCCAATCCGAAAGCTAACTTGTTCCATAAAACTTTTCACCATAAAGAAAAGAAACTTGTGTTTTGAGTTTAAAAATTTTTGCCTCTGAATACTAATTATGATAAAAGATTATGATGATAGAAGATATAGAAGATCCCCTTTTTCCCTCCAACCCTTATATTCTCTTAATAATTGCAAAACACCGATCCACATATGTTCAACACTGTTCTCTTAATTAAGAACATACGGTATATCCAGAGTGAGCAGCATTCATACTAATTTTCGCTAATGCCACAATAAGTCTAAGTCCTTCTCTTATACATGGAATTGTTGAATTTGGCTATAAAATTGAAATTGGCGGGAAAATAAACTTACTCTTTTAGTTTTCTCCTTAAAATTCTCAACTAATAAAATAATTTCTTTTCTCTGCTGATCAGTTAGCATGGCATCTGGGTCGCAAACAAAAGATCGGTTTTGAATACCACATTTAAAATAAGTAGATGCTCTAGGGGATGGATAATCACCCCAATTCCATGAATGAATTTCGAGTATTAGACAGAACAGAATTAAAAATTTTATTAGGAAATTGAACATTTTTCTAACAAAACAATATATAAAAAGCAATTCGCTATAAATAAAGGGGGGGGGGGATGGATAATCACTCCAAGAGATGGATAACTCCTGGATGGATAATCACCCCTCTAGGAGATGGATAATCATCCCAAGTCCATGAATGGATTTTGATTATTAGACAGATTATAATTAGAAATTTGATTAAAAAATTGAACATTTTCTCAACAAAAAATGGAAATTATTCTCTATAAATGATCAAATGGAAATTTATTTCTATTCAGATTAGATTACACTAACTTTTATAAACTGCCAGCTTTCACATAGTGCTAACTTTAAACTACCCCTTTTGTTTATAAACAATCTACATTGATTTATTTTTATTTAAAACTGATATTTTTGCAATAAATTAATTAAATAATAACACAAATAATTATGAATCAGAGCTGTCTTAAACTAAAAAATTCTTCGAACTACAAAAATTGAAAGTCGAAATCCCCTAAGATTGTCGGATCCGTATATCCGGATCCGAAAAAAGGCCGGATATCCTGAAATTTTCGGTTCGGATATCGGATGCGGATATCCGAAGATTTCCAACTACCCGACTAGGGTTGCACCCCAAACGCTCGGGTATGCTCGGTATGTTGGGGTACGGGGTTTTCGAATTGTTTCGAAGCGGGTTTTGGGTCGGGGAAAATTTGAAAAAATCTTTCGGGAACGGGGGTCGGGGTGCAACTCTATATCCGACAACCTTATCCCAAACAGCTTTGTTATAAATAAAGATAGGCAAACAATAGTATAAAATTTAATCGTTTTAAATAATTTGTCGATAAAATAAATAATTTAAATGGTGTTGGAATAAATAAAGTTTAAAAATAGATTTCAGCCATGTCTTATAGATATATCAGTATTATCTAATTCTTCAACCTAAAATAATTTAGATTAGCTTTCAAGATATGTAAATATCAGGGTAAAAGCGAAATGCGAAAGTCAAAAGAAGGCAAAAATCTTCGAAAGGCGAAACGCTTAACTTGCACACCACTGGTAGATACCGAAAATGCTCTAATATAACCAAACTCCCTATTTGAACCACACTCCCTAATTTAGAGGCAGAAAACAAGCAAATCATCATTTTTTAGTTATATTTAGGTTATATATAAGGGATTAGGGGAGATATACCTAAACTCGATACCGGAAACTGATATACATTTGAAGTACACTCCCTAATATAAGCACACTCTACTAAGAGATCGAAAAATAGAAGCACATTTGGTTCTATTAGAGAATTTACGGTATATATCATACGTTGATATATTCTGTCAATGATATAGGAATATCCAAGGTGACACTATTTTCCACAAAATTTTCTTTTGTTTCTAATATATAGAAAAGTTGAAAGGAGCTATTTCCAAAAGTCAAAATTAATTTTATCAGTTCGTTTTCAATCAAATTAGTATGGTTGAAGCACATTGTTGTATTCTTTTTCGAATTTATTGAGTCATTATTCTGTTAAATAATAATTATAAATAGGGTATGAATTTAGGGAGATAAATTCTTAAGATTAGAGTTCGGACAAACGGCAAAATCAAATGTTTGATCAAATATCAGATTACTTTTGAAATTTTGGAATACGATATAAACAGTAGTCTCGGTCTTGACTTTCGAGTCGCGAAATTTCTAGAGTTTTTTGAGCTCTCGGTCTCAGTCTCGAATCTCGTCTTTTTTTAACTCTCGAACATGACTAATAAAACGGGATATTTCAGAGTCGAGATTAAGAGCTATGAAGGAATATAAGAATATCAGGTGATATCGTGATAACTGACTTTTAATCCAATATCACTCCTAATCCCAAAATCTCTTCAAATCCATTAATATCCATCTTAATTATCCGTTATCCCTCTTTATCCATTCGAATCCACAGATATACACATTCCAAATCCACGGATTTTTTTTTGATCCCCAAATCCATCATTCGCATTAATTCACCTTTATCCTCCCAAATTCCTCTTAATCCTCCCAACCTAGATATGTCGTAAAACCCCAAAATAAGCAACAAAAAACACCAAAACCTTCAAAAATGTTACAACCTATTTTAGGTTGCAAAACCCACAAAATGATTATTTTAAAATTAAGTTCCTAAAAATCCGATCCCTAATCATGAGTAGGATCTAGAAATAATTTTAAATTAAGTACCGTATATGAATCTATACACGTAGAATTTCTTTTGATATCCATTTCAAAGACTGTGCTGCCAACTAAATAAAGAAATTAAGACTTTTAGGGAGATAATACGAGCATAGGGGGGATTTGGTCCTAATTTAGCTTTCTATTTAGGTGGCGTTAGCACATTAGTCCGGTTCAGGGAAATTTTGTTTGTCTTGTTTCGGACGAAACGAGATTTCAATCATCCCTGGTCCGGTCTACTGAAGAAGCTAGCTAAAGAGAAAATAGCAATAGCCCAGCTCTGCTTCACTCCAGTTAGTCAGTCTTAGTCCGTAGTTAAGCTAGTATTCTACTCCAGCGTATTTCTCGCTTATTACCCAGCTCTACGAAGACCCGGTATGAATTTTACAACCAATCATGCCGTATTTTGAGTGTGTGTACCATAACTCTGGGTGGGTATAGATCTCTATCCCCTTCAATCACACTAAATCCATCGATACTCCCTTATTCCCTCCAAATCCCTTGATATTCTCTTTTGATATTCGCTTTCAAAAGTTTAGGTCTTATGGGTCAATAGGTATTTTGTGTGTAGGGTCTCTGGGTCAATAGGTCTTTAGACTTCTGGTCAAATCCTAGAACTTTTAAAACAAACATTCAGTTTGTGATTCAATGGCAGCATGAAGAAAATTAACTTTAATGCTTCTTTGGAAAGGATTTGGTACATGTCCTTCAACGATGACTTCGCTTTTATCATCTAAAAGTCGTTCTAATCTTTTGGTATTTTCATCCAATTCAAATTTTGGGATATCTTTTGGGAGATCATGTGTTAGCATTGGACACTTATTAGAATCTTCTTCAAATGCAACGTTTTCAACAAAGCCAGTGATCTTGAAATGAACAAATTTGAATAAATAAGGGTTTTGTGGTTGTCGTTATCTAGTCATTTATTAAGCTAAATCTCATCCGCTCATTGATCCTGAAGCAATAAGGCTACCTCAATCTAATATGTATATAAAATTCTTAACACTCCTCCAGGGTCGATCGGAATTCCAACGTCCAATTTCCAACGTTTTTTCCCTTCCGATTTCCGAAATTTCGGAAAATCTTCCGATTTCCGAAAATTTAAGCTGATTTCCAATTTACTAGTTACAACTTTCGAGCTATTTCCTATTTGCGACAGTTCCGGTTTCCGGCACCTTCGTCATTTCCGATCGACCTCTGCACTTCTCCATATATAATTGGATAATCATTCAAGTGTATATTATTGCCCGATCGAACTTACAACATAAATTCTTGACTCAACACTGGGTATGGATTCAGAAAACTTTTTCTAAATTTATTAGAGAATGTGCAAAAAACTTACTTCAACACGATTTATAGCCCAAGGAGGATATCCGAAATGCGGATAGTAGATATCTTCTCCTTGGTTAATATTAATAATGTAGTGATCAAATTCTGATTTAATTATCACGACTATAGGCATGCCGGATTCAATTGGATTTGAGTGGATACGTTGAAAATGTAAAACTTTTTCTCTGGAAACGGTTCGCATAACTAACTCGGAGTACAGTCCTCTCTTAGCATGCTTAATAGTTCCATTATCAATTCTATTTATATCGGGATCAAAAGTAAACTCAAGCTCCAATACAATGTCAACATCTTATTAAATTAGAAATATTTAAAAATATTAATGGGCAGGAATAGTTTGGAACAAAAGTAGCATTCTTCTTTTATATTAGGGATGTCATGGGTTACCAGAACCCCTATCCGAAGAAATTTGCGCAGGTTTTTGTCTGCATTTCGGCACAAGATTAAGACCAGGGTTTGATCTTGGTGTCATTCGAATATGTGTCATTTGACTGACCATTTTTTACATATTTACCCAGAAAATTGACTGGGGTTGGTGAGGGCAGAGTAAATAAGTACCGTATTCCCTTAAAGCGATCCGAACCCCAACCTGAGATCCGGACTTTTTCTCGGCCCGAAGCCGATCCGATGAAAACTTTTAAGATTCTTATCTATTTTTGCCCATATATCACTGAATTACCGATTTTTACATCATCCCACCCAGCTTGAAAAGCTCTTTCGAATTCCATATTTTTGAATATAACAAGCAAAAGGCTCAAAATGGTCAGGGAAGCATTAAAATGGGGGGGGGGTCTGAACCAAACTATCATCTTTAAAATTGATCTTAAAAAGCCTTATTTCAAACTTGTCAACATTAATAAAATTTTACCAAGTTTATTAGAGATCTCCGGATCGTGAATTAATTTTACAGTAAAATCAAAAATTTTCGTTCCATTAGCTGGCGATACCTTAGCCTCAAAACAAACGATTACTCCATATCTCTTCAGCTCATATATCTTTCTTCTATTAAGCAAATATGGCGGTTCTTGAGGCTTACCATCGGTAATAGTATTTTCCAAAAGCTGAATATCGCCGTCCAGCTAAAATAATATTTTATAGAATTTCTAATACGCTATTAAAAGCTATTAACGCTATTAAAACTCGTGAATGAAGAAGTGATGTGGGGTGTCCCTGGGATGAAAATTTGTAGACAGGTAGACCATACCCTACTTTAGTTGTACAGGGTGACAAGAAAGTAATGGGACACACATTTTATGCCATAACTTTATTCAAATTAAAGATAATTGGATCAAAACGATCTTATATGATAGAGAATTAAACAAGGAACAGATATTATCAAAAATTTTCTAAGTGCCAACCCTTTGCTAGGAAATAGAGTTGAATGCGCGCGGAAAAATTTTAGGCAAAAGTTCGCACCACCCAGGGTGAGATTTTCTCTCATTCCCGGACGCGTGATTGCAATATCGACTCTAAACTTTTGGGTTATTAATAACATACAGTTCCCTCAAAAATACCAAAAGGATTAACCCATCGGATTC